AATGTGTACCTCAGATCTTTCGGGTGACTTCAGGTTTAAAGCATAGATCAGTCCAAAGAGGTAAGCAAAAGCAGCTGGCAGGTCAGGGAGATCTTGAAGGACAATCTCTTCTTCCACAACAACACCAACACTCACGACACTTTGAGGAGCTGCGTCGTTATTATCCTCCAACACAGTCTTGACTGACTGGAAAGCTTGGTGGGAGTTTCTGGCACTGGTTTGAATCCTACTTAAAGGACAGGGACTTTGTTGTGTCTATAGGAAACTTCAAATCTGAGCAAACAAAAATTACTTGTGGAGTTCCCCAAGGTTCCATCCTGGGGCCTCTTCTGTTTAACCTCTACATGCGTCCACTAGCTCAGATTATAAAGAAAATTAAAAAAAAGTTATCATAACTACGCAGACGACACACAAATATATATTACAATGTCGCCAGGCAACCATGGTCCCATAAAAGCACTGGGTAAATGCATAGAACAAATCCATGAGTGGATGTGCAAAAATTTTCTCCAGCTAAACAAAAACAAAACCAAGGTTGTTGTTTTTGGAGTCAGCAATCAGCTTCAGTCAGTAGGATTTAAAACCACAGACCAGGCAAGAAATCTGGGCGTAGTGATGGACTCAGACCTCAATTTTAAAAGCCACATTAAGACAATTACAAAGTCAGCCTACTATCACCTGAAGAACATATCGAGAATTAGAGGACTTATGTCCCAGCAGGACCTGGAAAAACTTGTCCATGCTTTTATCTTCAGTCGTCTTGATTACTGCAACAGTGTCTTTACAGGTCTGCCTAAAAAAATCTGTCAGACAACTACAGCTGATCCAGAACGCTGCTGCTAGAGTCCTCACCAAAACCAAGAAAATGGATCACATCAGTCCAGTTCTGAGGTCTTTACACTGGCTTCCAGTCTGTCCGAGAATAGACTTTAAAATCCTGTTGCTGGTTTATAAAGCGCTTAAAGGTTTAGGGCCAAAATACATTAGTGACCTCCTGATTAATTACGAACCATCCAGACCGCTCAGGTCGTCTGGGACAGATCTGCTCTTTGTCCCCGGAGTCAGAACCAAACATGGAGAAGCAGCGTTCAGTTTCTATGCTCTTTATATCGAGAACAAACTCCCAGAAAACTGCAGGTCTGCTGAAACTCTCAGCTCTTTTAAATCGAGGTTGAAGACACACCTATTTACAGCTGCCTTTCATTAAACAATTTTAATAAGATTTTAAATTTTAACTCTGCACTGTAACTTTTAACTCTTTTTATATTTTTACTTTATTTATTTCAATTAATTTCATTTTTATTATTTTTATTTAAACATATGTTCAGATTTAATAATTCCAGTGATTTTTTGTATTTTTTTTAATGTTCTATTTTAATGTTTCTTTTCTTTCCTCTGTCATGATGCTTTTGATGTCTTGTGTGAAGCACTTTGAATTGCCTTGTTGTTGAAATGTACTATATAAATAAACTTGCCTGCCTTGCCTTGATTCTTCATTTGAAGTCAAAAAAATCCCCTCAAGGGCCGCAAATGGCCCTCGGGCCGCACTTTGGACACCCCTGCCCTAATGGCTACTTTTGTAGCTGTAACAAGTTATCGAGCATGAATTAACACAACCAGTCAGAAGATAACATGTCTGTCCTGTTTGAACGGTATTTGACCAGATATGTTAACAATGCAGCGCCGTAGCATCAGTTTGCCGCTAGCTTTCGCTAATGACTGAAAACCTGTTTGTGTTTAAATGTTCAAAATGTGTAGGTCGCTTAAACAACGTACAGCATACTGCACAATACAACTCAGAATAAAATTCCCATATCATTTTAACTTAATTTAATTAAAAGGTTGGTTAAACCTCCAGCTCGAGGCAGCACAGCCACAATGATACTTGATGTGAAGAATGCCAACTCGGTTGTTCTGATAGGCAGCAGATGTGCGGCAGCACGCAAAATACACACATCACTGCTTTGGCATCGCCCCGCCCAACAGAGAGTCGGAGTCGCAGGTGTGTTAAACACAGAGTTTGTTGGACCTGGGAGTAGATTTAAAGGTGGAGAGGAGGGAATCAGATGATGGTGGAGGATATAGAATAGAATAGAATTACTTTATTGATCTCAAACTGGGAAATTAATATTTGTCACCTGGCAGAAACCTGAAGGACAGAGACTCATAACCATCCCCGCCTGCTTTGCCTAACTTCAACTGAGGAGAGGACTAACCACACTTCAGCTCTGAGTGAGTTCTTATTCTGCTTTTACTGCTTTTTCTTCTTCTACTTCTTATTCTTCTGATTGTACTACTTTTTCTTCATCTTCTATTACTTTTATTTTACTTTTTCCTCTTCTTCTACATCTACTTTTTCTTCATCTACTAATCCTTCAGCTGTTTCTGCTCATTCTTCTTCATTCAGCACTGTTTTGCAAAACATTTCAGCGGTTAGCATTCCCATGCATTTTCCGCAGGTAAATCTGGCATTACTAGTCAGTCTGTCATTCTAGTTTCTAGTTATCGCCTGAAGCTGAGCGAGCGGCTGTGAGAGATTGTCATTAGGAATGAGGAAATTTAAACTGAATTGAGAAATGCTCTGATCTGCACTTTTTTTTTTTTTATCAAATTGAGTTTTTTACACTTTTATCGTTACGAAAAACAGCGAGGGAATCAGAAATGAAAAAAATAGACGACTAGATTTTTAAAACTCCAGACAGCAGCAATACAGCCTACACTTGTCTAACCTGAGAAAAGCTGAACAAAGTGCTTCATCCTGTAATTACTTGATTTTATTTTTGTGCTCAGTTGATCATTTTTGGAATTAAGAATTCATAACAAATCTTGTACCAAAATAATGGGTCACTATTTTGCATCATTAAGGTGCACCACCTCCCCATAGGAGGAAATAAAACTAAGGAACATTTGTTAATAATCCATTTTTTGGAATTCATACACGCCTACAAAGTTCATTTCCAACATAACTCAAAAAGTAAAACTTTAGCAGCAGACTTTAGATGGTCGTATGGGATCATGGCATTCCAGTCCTACAGTATCGTGCAGAGTTGTTAGGATTTATTAAAAAAAACAATACATGATGCACGTGAGAGCTATTACTGAATGATTTGATCAGTAGTTTACCCAGTTTAATATTTAGTCAAGAGAAGCACTCAGGCGTTTCTCTGCTGAGATTTAAGACATATCTGCAGGAAATGCTGTTTGACCCTGCAAAAGGAATATGAATGATCGGGTTCTGAGTCGGGGTGAAATGTCTTAGCTTTTCAAACTGATGAGAGATGGAACCAGTCTCCACAGGGTCATTAATAACTCTGTGCCTTATCACTCTTGCGGTCAGTAAAACAGGGAAAGTTAGTGTCCTATCAGGTCCAACGATCTCACTCGAGGATGCTTTGGAACCAAACTTCTGGGCTGGACAGTGTCATTGTGTCACATTTACAACTGAAGTCAATCCAGGCATGGCGAAAGACAAACAAAGCCGTTTAAAGGTTAAAAGGTTAGATATGGGCAACTACCTTATGAAAAAGGGTTTTGGATCCATTTGATCAATAACCAGAATTTTCTGTTCTTTCAATCGAACAAGCTACAAATAACAGAACACCTTAACATCAGAGCTAAATTTACTGTGACTTGCAAATATAACTGCTTTTATCTAAGAATTTTCTTATTAAGAAGTTTGACTTTGAGATTGTTTTTCTTTTTTACAAATATGGAAATTCATTAACTTTGGGGCTGTGTTCTTTTAATTTGTGGTCATTACTTTCATGTTTTCAATCTGAAGGGGTCCTCATCTAGTTTCTGTGTGTCTGAAGCATTTTGCAGCAGTTCCTCTGTTCACATGTCCTGTGTAAAACACTTGTAGTGCCATATTTGGTCATTTCTGATTGATTTAATTGCGATCGATCCGCAGCACATGTGTATCAGTGAGTTGCACTATTATCTCAAAGCAATAAAGACCTGCCTTGAAGCAGTTATATGGGGGTTTACCCTCTTAGTTTACTTTGAATACTTAGCAGTAAAGTAAAATTGGAAGCTGGAAATCACAGGTGAGTGTAAGTGTCTTTGCCAAGCCTTTTCTGGCCCGTGATGTCCAGGCGCCGGCCAAAGACCCCTAACTAACACATTTAGGGAAAGTTCCAACATCTGAAGATCAGGATAACATCTTTAAAATAAAAGCGGGCTGGATGGAACAGCAATCAATGTTTGTACTGTAAAACAGTAATGGACTGTATGTCTAGTCAAACCGGAGTTTGATCTGTTAGAAAATAAATGAATTAGCAGAAAGAGTCGCGGAAGTGTCAGCAGTGGGTTTTAAACGTGTTTGTTTTGTTTCTAGCTTCCGTCAGATGTTTTTACCGTCTGAGGTACAAAAAAATCTGATGGAAGCTACAAACTGCACAATTTCTCATTAAATAAATTTGATTGGCTAAAAATTATCCGAAATCTTGGTCGCGATTTTTCAAGCAGTAGTTGGTAGTGGGTGCTCAGGCTAAAGTTGGAATGGGGCAAAGGGGTCTTCTTTGAAAAGCATTGGAAGAATGTGCCATGTTCTGCAATCTTTTCTTCATTTTAACATTTCTAATCAAAGGCATAATTGTTATTATTTCTCGATCAGTCTGGAACCTCAGTTAAATCATGCAAAATTCCTCACCTTTTATTTGTTCATTTATTCGTAGCTTTTCAATCAGATCTGTTCCATACATGAAATATAATTGATCATTTCTACATATTATATAAAAATGAGATGTTTCTTTAAATACTAAGATATGAGAAAAATCCTGTCAGATTTTTTAAAAATCTGAGATCCCAGTCCCCCCATTTTAAAATGGCATGACACCTCTGTGTGCAGAAACAAAACAGACCATCTAAATCTAGTGAAATGTATCATGTCTCTAACTGTTGTTTGTATTTCTGCCTCAGGTTGGGTATCTACTCTCTTTGGCCAGATGAACAAAGCAAAAGAACCCAGAGGGAAACTGTTCTTCCTGTTCGTTTCTACTATGGTTTCTACCATCATTTTCATTCTCTATGTCACTGGGACATCCCCTGTGGAGTACATTTCCCCCCCAAGGCTGCCGGAGCCTCCTAAAGTATGCCCTGTGGGGACTGCCGAGCACACCATCACCCCCCTGAACAACACTGACCACTTCCTGGTGTCAGCCTTCATGGACCAGAGAGTGAAAGGATTTGATTTACGCATTATTAGCATATTCAAAACAAACTCCGCCAAACCTCTTTACTGTCTTTTCTGCTGTGCAGGCCAGTTATCAAATACAACTCCAACAAACATTTTACAACATACAGAAAAATTTGGTTTTCTCTTTGTCACTGCGGATATCATGTGTCAGATTCCTCAAAACTGCAACGCTACACATGTTACTCTTCAGACTGAGCCAGAAAGAGTGAAGGCATTGGACCAGCTTTGGCTTCCTATAAGAAACCAGAAGACCAAGGGAATGAGGAGAAAAAGTTGCAGTTTAACTTCACAGTCTGTATCTCTAATTTGTTTGGAGGAATCAACAACGTGCTTCAGTTTGTACAGACGCTGGAGATGTACAGGTCAGCATCACACCACACATTACACAGCTCCAAATCAACCTTAAGGCATTTTCTCTAAATATTTGAAAGGTTCTGTAGAAAGTGCACTGAATTGCATCACATAATATCTGATTATCCCTCCACTGCTGTTGTCATACTTTTGAAAAGTTCAAATTCTAACAAACACTTATCCATTCCAATACTTTTGAACGCAGTGATTTACCCTTCAGTACAGCCTTTGTCATTATGACATCAAAGTCGTCAGTTTTACCTCTTCTAATGCTTCATCTCGGAACTTCTTTAGCTGCAGTCCAACATTGTTCTACTGTCTCCTTCTTTTGCCTTATCCTGATGTCAACGGTTTTGGCCAATTAACTTCCATTAACACGACCCTAATTTATGTAATGGGTTAGGGTGCCACTAGTCGCCAGAGTCGTTAATTAATGACATGGTGAGTCAAATTGGTACAAAAATCAGTTTTAACTAGCTTGTTCCAATGTTACACATTGTTACCGATTTTCACTGTCTCCCCCTGTTGCGCCTGTTACATCTGAAGATAGATCATGGGTGGAACAACAAACCCCAACCATTCTGCATCCATGCATAAGAACATTGCAGACAGGGGCGTGAATATCCTGCTTTGAAATGCCAATATGCAAGCTACAAGAGATGTAAAAAATGCTGCCAAAAAAGCTGGAAATCACTAGCACAATATGACTAACTGTGTTATTTCTTTTAATTGGTTGAACAAATGATTGAACCTTTGATTTACCTATCTGCAGGTTGCTAGGTGTTGACAGGGTGGTGATCTACAACACCAGCTGTGGCCCAGAACTGGACCTCCTATTGAAGAGCTACAACAGGACAGGCTTCCTGGAGATAGTTCCTTGGCCGATCGACTTGTTTCTGAGTCCATCTTGGGGCTGGCTCTACTCTGTGAGCGGGGGGGACGTGCATTACTTTGGTCAACTGGCTACACTTAACGAGTGTGTTTACAGATCCATGGACCGGTCACGTTACGTCCTGTTGAACGATATTGATGAGATTATAATGCCATACCAACACAACAACCTGATGTCTCTGATGAACACACTCCAACAGCAGCATCCAAATGTAGGCCACTTTTGCTAGAACAGAATCAAAACAATCATATTTGACATGTATTAATATTTGTATTTTTCCCCCTGTCTTCCATGTCGTGTCACATTCTACAGACAGGTGTGTTCCTCATTGAGAACCATATCTTCCCCAAGACTGTTTTCGAGCCAAGCAAGAGGTTTCATCTACCTAAGTGGGACAAAGTGCCGGGGGTCAATATTCTGGAGCACATCTACAGGGAGGACCCCGACAGAACAAAATATCACCCGCACAAATTAATAGTTCAGCCAAGGTAGGATGAGGATTTTTGGACTGAAAAGTTGCTCACTTTGTCAGAAGAGCCAGTGTTTTGGTACTATGAATTGTGTATTTTGCCAAGTCTTTTTGAAAAAAGAATTTTTTCAGTCATTGTAAAAAGTTTTTCCTAATCCTAATCCTTCCTAATCCCGCCTCAAAAAAAAAACACCCTCTCAAACCTGAGCATTTTTTGACAACAACCTCCCAAAACTCCAGAAAAACAGCAAAGAATTTCAATGTGGACTAAATTCTTAATTTTTCAGCTTTTGGAGCAGAAAGAGACATCAAATTAGAAATATGTGAAATCTTAAACCTAAATAATTGCCTGTGCACTAAAGTGCAATAAAAAATTTTTTAATTATTAATAAAAAACAATAAAAACAATGTTACGGGCGACGTTGCATCAAGTCCTAAAGGTATGTGCACACCAGCGTCAAATCTGATCTTTAAGGTGGACAGGCAAACGTTGCATCCAATCTAAATGGGTTAAATGTTGTAAAGATTGATGGGGGATATTCCTTACAGCAAATCAGAGTCCTAATAGACATGAAGTAATTCAGAATTGGATAATAACATTGGAAGGACAGTCTGCTCTAAGTCAATCAGAAGCTCAATTCAGAGTGCAGCGGGATCCAAAACATATGCCTCCAAGCCAAGACGAGGTTCACTGATACACTGTTCTTTTGTGTCTCTGTGATTAACAGGTTGGTGGAGCAGGTTTCTGTGCATGATGTGCTCAAGGCTTTTGGAACCACATTCAAAGTTCCCCCAGACGTTTGTCGGATCATTCACGTCCGTGTTTATCTGAGGGGAAAATTGGATGCCAAGGAGCTCAATGAGGATAAACGCCTGTGGGACTTTAACGAAAAACTAATTCCCAGTGTTGACAAAGCACTGGAGAGAGCAGGGCTGCTGAGATCAGAACCTGCCCTTTAACAGGTTATGTACTTCAAGGTCTAGAAACGTCAACTGATCATCTGTTCTAATGAAACTCAGTTTAGTCTTGAAACCTTTCTGTGTTCTAATCTCTTTCCATTTTTTTCAAAAGCAGCTCCAATATTGTTGCCTCTTTTACCTTTTTTCTTGCACCGAGAGCATAAAACCCTTTACAAGAAGCCAGTACATGTATTTGAACATAGAATGTTCCCCTAATTTCTGATGATAAAGTTAGGTCATTTTAGGATTCAGCTTCCTGAGGAGGTATTTTCGCTGCTGACATTTCCTGAGAATCTTCTCGGTGAGAATTTCAGCAGGCTGTCGAAAATAGTACCCAGGTACTTAAACTCCTCTACTAGTTCAACAGGATTCCTATGGATTGTGGGGATTGCAGCTGCAGCCAGTTCCCTCTGCTTGTTGGAGAAGGTCACCACCATTCCTTTGGTCTTGCTCATGTTCAGTTGGAGGCAGGAGCTGTCACATCACTCCACAAACTCCTGAAGAACTGGTCCATGGTGCTGAGAGGGGCCTGACAGCAGAGACAGGAGAACTGTGTCGTCTGCGTACTTCACCAGGGGACAGTTTGGCTGTGTGGTTCTGCAGTCGGTGTAGAGAATGAAGAGCAGAGGAGGGCACACACAGCCCTGAGGGGAGCCAGTTGGCCATATAGGCTAGTCCTTTTGAAAATGTCTTACAAATCTCACAGAAAGACATACGATTGTTACTCGTTCTTTATTACAGGATCTATCAGATTGCTTGTATAGTTATGACATGTTGCTGCTTCAGACCTCATCACAGACTTATTGAAACTGGCTTAAAGCTCACAATACATGTGATAAAGTCTGACCTGCAATCAATCAATCTTTATTTGTATAGTGCCAATTTATTACAAATGTTATGTCAAGCCTTACCCTACCTTATTCTCTGTTATATAATCTACAGAGACCCATCATAAGTCCATCATCAGCACACATGACAGGAGTACAATAGCAGCAGCAGAGGCTGCCGGATAATATTTGCTCTGCGGGGACATCTGCTGGTGAAAAACAAGTTTTACTCTCAAAAAAGTTTGACTCCCTACAATATTTAAATTAAAATCATCCCACCTAAAGCTTTGAAGTTGTTGTGATTCACTACTTCACTTTTAAGTACAAACAAGACCAAAGTAGCCATAATCCTTTATTCACTGTCCATGGTTTCTGTTTGTTAAAGATGGTAGCTTTTTCTTTTTTCTCACCATGACGAGCGTTTAAGGAACCAAATGTGATTCTGTGTAACTCATCTGGACTCAAACAAACTTTGACAAACATGTCTTAACAAACATGGAAAGATCAACACTTCACAAATGATCCTCAAAAAGTTGTTGGTAGATACATTATAGCCTAAGCAAATACTGTATTTTCTTATAATGGATCCAACAAAACAAAAGGGCATCAAGGAGGCATTAGAGTAGAAAAAAATCACTTATTTTGCTTTGTTGTGGTTGTTCAGAAAATGCTGTGTAGTTTGCTTATAGCTTTTCATTGTTCATGTTTCTTAATCCTGGCAAAGGCATAGTGTTTTATTGATAAATGGAGACTTTGTCAATATTTTTATTTGGTGACCCTTTTAGGACACAAAACTATTGAAAACTGTCTCACTGCTCCATATAGGATTGAAAAGATCAACATATTTCTTGTCACCCATTGGGAATGAATGAATCCAGAAAAACAAATAATTTAACCAGATACATGTAGCTCTAGGGAAAGTTCAGTCAGGAAGACTTTATATTCTGCACGCGGGTTTTAAAGCTCCATTTTCACACTAAGCAAGCATCAGCTGTTCATATCACCTGGTAACATTTATCCAATAGCACTGCTCCATTCTTTATTTAAATATGACTTTCTCTTACTCAAGTTCATGCATGCCATTGTCACGTGCAAACCTCCACTTCCCCCATCACCAGCAAGCCTATACACTGTTTCATCACCTTCTTCATCCCATCAGCCTCAGATGACATCATCAGCCATCATCTGGTTTTTAATCCCCCCAACAAATAAATGCTACTTTTTCAAAAGTTTATGTATGTAAACTACTTAAGTCGTCATGTGTCTCGTGAAGGTGCAGGTGAGACGTAAACCACTGCAAAAAAAGAAAAGTTGGGTGAACTCAAAATTTCAAGGCAACAAACTTCGATAAAATTTTAAGTTGGGCAATTAAACTAAATATTTTAAGTTTCGCTTTTGCGGTTGCTCAACTCTGAATTCTGATGTTTGTCAACTCAACTGTAAATTGTACTAACTTAGAATTTTACATTGTAATAACTTTTAATCCTTACTTCTGCTAACTCTCCCGTAAATTGCACTAACTTAGAATTTTACATTGTAATAACTCTGAATTCTTACACAGAATCCCCTTAAATTTGGTTAAGTTAGTATAGCAGAATAATTTAAGAGGAATTTAAAATTGCACACTGCAATAGTTATAATGTTATATAAATAATATAATGTAACCAATAACTTCTAATCAAATGTATAAATAATCACAGATGCAACATATACATTCAAAACATTTGTTTTATTTAAACTGTACCAGCATCAAATCCCTTTCAACAGGGCCAAGTAAATGCAAACAGATGAGACCCAATTGTCCCAGTCCTAGCAGTCAACTTGTGCTACATTGTATACTTGTAAACTTTGAGATTGAATAAAAGATCAAACATGAGTCATGTATACAAGACCATACAGAACCATGATACACAACTATGCCTCTAATAAATCTGTTAACAAGGTAACTGAGCGCCGTAACTTCCGGTCTCAAAATAATCAGCATATTCTTTTTTGTAACACTGCTCAATACTATGTGACAATTTACAAACACTGAATCTTAACATGTAACATGTTTAAGAAAAACCCAATAAAAGAGCAAAATAAATATAAGAGTTGGAGATGGAGGTACATAAGAGTTGAGAGTGAGTAACAGCAAGAGTAAATTAACATGGTGTTGGCTGGACAGAAGGGAACTTTTAGAGGTCAACATCATTTCACATCCAACATTATCAGTTAACTTGTGGATTCACTGAAGGAGTTTGTTTTTGAGGGATCTGACTCTTGCAGAGAGGTCTGTACCAAGTTCCATGAAAACCTTCTGAACAGTTTCAAATGTGTACCTCAGATCTTTCGGGTGACTTCAGGTTTAAAGCATAGATCAGTCCAAAGAGGTAAGCAAAAGCAGCTGGCAGGTCAGGGAGATCTTGAAGGACAATCTCTTCTTCCACAACAACACCAACACTCACGACACTTTGAGGAGCTGCGTCGTTATTATCCTCCAACACAGTCTCGACTGACTGGAAAGCTTGGTGGGAGTTTCTGGCACAGTACTAAACTGGTTTGAATCCTACTTAAAGGACAGGGACTTTTTTGTGTCTATAGGAAACTTCAAATCTGAGCAAACGAAAATTACTTGTGGAGTTCCCCAAGGTTCCATCCTGGGGCCTCTTCTGTTTAACCTCTACATGCGTCCACTAGCTCAGATTATTAAAAATTTTAAAAAAGTTATCATAACTACGCAGACGACACACAAATATATAGTACAATGTCGCCAGGTAACCATGGTCCCATAAAAGCACTGGGTAAATGCATAGAACAAATCAATGAGTGGATGTGCAAACATTTTCCCCAGCTAAACAAAGACAAAACCAAGGTTGTTGTTTTTGGAGCAAAGGAGGAGCGACTAAGAGTCAGCAATCAGCTTCAGTCAGTAAGATTTAAAACCACAGACCAGGCAAGAAATCTGGGCGTAGTGATGGACTCAGACCTAAATTTTAAAAGCCACATTAAAACAATTACAAAGTCAGCCTACTATCACCTGAAGAACATATCAAGAATTAGAGGACTTATGTCCCAGCAGGACCTGGAAAAACTTGTCCATGCTTTTATCTTCAGTCGTCTTGATTACTGCAACAGTGTCTTTACAGGTCTGCCTAAAAAAATCTGTCAGACAACTACAGCTGATCCAGAACGCTGCTGCTAGAGTCCTCACCAAAACGAAGAAAATGGATCACATCAGTCCAGTTCTGAGGTCTTTACACTGGCTTCCAGTCTGTCAGAGAATAGACTTTAAAATCCTGTTGCTGGTTTATAAAGCGCTTAAAGGTTTAGGGCCAAAATACATTAGTGACCTCCTGATTAATTACGAACCATCCAGACCGCTCAGGTCGTCTGGGACAGATCTGCTCTTTGTCCCCGGAGTCAGAACCAAACATGGAGAAGCAGCGTTCAGTTTCTATGCTCTTTATATCTAGAACAAACTCCCAGAAAACTGCAGGTCTGCTGAAACTCTCAGCTCTTTTAAATCGAGGTTGAAGACACACCTGTTTACAGCTGCCTTTCATTAAACAATTTTTTGTTTAATCTCTGTTTAGATTTTAAATTTTAACTCTGCACTGTAACTTTTAACTCTTTTTATATTTTTACTTTATTTATTTCAATTAATTTCATTTTAATTATTTTTATTTAAACATATGTTCGGATTTAATAGTTCCAGTGATTTTTTTTCTTTTCTATTTTAATGTTTCTTTTCTTTCCTCTGTCATGATGCTTTTGATGTCTTGTGTGAAGCACTCTGAATTGCCTTGTTGTTGAAATGTACTATATAAATAAACTTGCCTGCCTTGATTCGTCATTTGAAGTCAAAAAAATCCCCTCAAGGGCCGCAAATGGCCCTCGGGCCGCACTTTGGACATCCCTGCCCTAATGACTACTTTTGTAGCTGTAACAAGTTATCGAGCATGAATTAACACAACCAGTCAGAAGATAACATGTCTGTCCTGTTTGAACGGTATTTGCCCAGATATGTTAACAATGCAGCGCCGTAGCATCAGTTTGCCGCTAGCTTTCGCTAATGACTGAAAACCTGTTTGTGTTTAAATGTTCAAAATGTGTAGGTCGCTTAAACAACGTACAGCATACTGCACAATACAACTCAGAATAAAATTCCCATATCATTTTAACTTAATTTAATTAAAGGTTGGTTAAAACTCCAGCTCGAGGCAGCACAGCCACAATGATACTTGATGTGAAGAATGCCAACTCGGAAAGTTGGCTTTCCCGCATTTCACAACAAACAAATCAGAGTTAGCAGAACTGTTGTCCCTTGTTTTGAACCCCAACTTAAAGATTTAACTATTAACAACTCACTAGTGTTTTGGAGCATACAACTGTCTTGCTTTTATTGAGCTAAGTAACATTATTGCCTTCAATGTAAAAAAAATATATTTTCAAGTTTTACCAACATAAATTTTAGGCCAAAAAATACAAGTTGGCTTTTTTGCAGTGTAGTAATCCAACCGGAAATTATTCTTGTGAGCTCATAATGTTGTTAATATTGCATACTTTTGTCTGACATTCAATATAAACAATTGATTAATGGGGTCATTGTTCTGATAGGCAGCAGATGTGCGGCAGCACGCAAAATACACACATCACTGCTTTGGCATCGCCCCGCCCAACAGAGAGTCGGAGTCGCAGGTGTGTTAGACACAGAGTTTGTTGGACCTGGGAGTAGATTTGAAGGTGGAGAGGAGGAATCAGATGATAGTGGAGGATATAGAATAAAATTACTTATTTTAATATTTGTAAATTAATATTTGTCACCTGGCAGAAACCTGAAGGACAGAGACTCATAACCATCCCCGCCTGCTTTGCCTAACTTCAACTGAGGAGAGGACTAACCACACTTCAGCTCTGAGTGAGTTCTTATTCTGCTTTTACTGCTTTTTCTTCTTCTACTACTGCTTTTATTTTACTTTTTCCTCTTCTTCTACATCTACTTTTTCTTCATCTTCTACTAATCCTTCAGCTGTTTCTGCTAATTCTTCTTCATTCAGCAAAACATTTCAGCGGTCAGCATTCCCATGCATTTTCCGCAGGTAAATCTGGCATTACTGGTCAGTCTGTCATTCTAGTTTCTAGTTATCGCCTGAAGCTGAGCGAGCGGCTGTGAGAGATTGTCATCAGGAATGAGGAAATTTAAACTGATTTGAGAAATGCTCTGATCTGCACTTCTTTTTTTTTTATCAAATTGAGTTTTTTACACTTTTATTGTTACGAAAAACAGCGAGGGAATCAGAAATGAAGCAGATAGACGATTAGGTTTTTTAAACTCCAGACAGCAGCAATACAGCCTACACTTGTCTAACCTGAGAAAAGCTGAACAAAGTGCTTCATCCTGTAATTACTTGATTTTATTTTTGTGCGCACCTTCTGTCTTTTTTTGGTCTCTTTCTCTCCCAAGTGCAAGTTACTGAACTGGACATGTAATTTAAAATAGCTTAGTTTCCAAATGTTGTTGTTTTTTTCTGAATTATACTTTCCACTGTTTGTAATTATTATTTATTTTCTGTCTGTTTGTTTTTATGTTCACCTTTGTCTTCTGTTATATGGGACCTTTAAATAAATTTGATTGGCTAAAAATTATCCGAAATCTAAATTATATAAAAATGAGATGTTTCTTTAAATACTAAGATATGAGAAAAATCCTGTCAGATTTTAAAAAATCTGAGGTCCCAGTCCCCCCATTTTAAAATGGCATGACACCTCTGTGTGCAGAAACAAAACAGACCATCTAAATCTAGTGAAATGTATCATGTCTCTAACTGTTGTTTGTATTTCTGCCTCAGGTTGGGAATCTACCTCTTTGGCCAGATGAACAAAGCAAAAGAACCCAGAGGGAAACTTTTCTTCCTGTTCGTTTCTATTATGGTTTCTACCATCATTTTCATTCTCTATGTCACTGGGACATCCCCTGTGGAGTACATTTCCCCCCCAAGGCTGCCGGAGCCTCCTAAAGTATGCCCTGTGGGGACTGCCGAGCACACCATCACCCCCCTGAACAACACTGACCACTTCCTGGTGTCAGCCTTCATGGACCAGAGAGTGAAAGGATTTGATTTACGCATTATTAGCATATTCAAAACAAACTCCGCCAAACCTCTTTACTGTCTTTTCTGCTGTGCAGGCCAGTTATCAAATACAACTCCAACAAACATTTTACAACATACAGAAAAATTTGGTTTTCTCTTTGTCACTGCGGATATCATGTGTCAGATTCCTCAAAACTGCAACGCTACACATGTTACTCTTCAGACTAAGCCAGAAAGAGTGAAGGCATTGGACCAGCTTTGGCTTCCTATAAGAAACCAGAAGACCAAAGGGAATGAGGAGAAAAAGTTGCAGTTTAACTTCACAGTCTGTATCTCTAATTTGTTTGGAGGAATCAACAATGTGCTTCAGTTTGTACAGACGCTGGAGATGTACAGGTCAGCATCACACCACACATTACACAGCTCCAAATCAACCTTAAGGCATTTTCTCTAAACATTTAAAAGGTTCTGTAGAAAGTGCACTGAATTGCATCACATAATATCTGATTATCCCTCCACTGCTGTTGTCATACTTTGAAAAGTTCAAGTTCAAACAAACACTTATCCATTCCAATACTTTTGAATGCAGTGATTTACCCTTCAGTACAGCCTTTGTCATTATGACATCAAAGTCGTCAGTTTTACCTCTTCTAATGCTTCATCTCGGAACTTCTTTAGCTGCAGTCCAACATTGTTCTACTGTCTCCTTCTTTTGCCTTATCCTGATGTCAACGGTTTTGGCCAATTAACTTCCATTAACACGACCCTAATTTATGTAATGGGTTAGGGTGCCACTAGTCGCCAGAGTCGTTAATTAATGACATGGTGAGTCAAATTTGTACAAAAATCTGTTTTAACTAGCTTGTTCCAATGTTACACATTGTTACTGATTTTCACTGTCTCCCCCTGTTGCGCCTGTTACATCTGAAGATAGATCATGGGTGGAACAACAAACCCCAACCATTCTGCATCCATGCATAAAAACATTGCAGACAGGGGCGTGAATATCCTGCTTTGAAATGCCAATATGTAAGCTGCAAGAGATGTAAAAAAATGCTGCCAAAAAAGCTGGAAATCACTAGCACGATATGACTAACTGTGTTATTTCTTTTAATTGGTTGAACAAATGATTGAACCTTTGATTTACCTATCTGCAGGTTGCTAGGTGTTGACAGGGTGGTGATCTACAACACCAGCTGTGGCCCAGAACTGGACCTCCTATTGAAGAGCTACAGCAGGACAGGCTTCCTGGAGATAGTTCCTTGGCCAATCGACTTGTTTCTGAGTCCATCTTGGGGCTGGCTCTACTCTTTGAGCGGGGGGGACGTGCATTACTTTGGTCAACTGGCTACACTTAACGAGTGTGTTTACAGATCCATGGACCGGTCGCGTTACGTCCTGTTGAACGATATTGATGAGATTATAATGCCATACCAACACAACAACCTGATGTCTCTGATGAACACACTCCAACAGCAGCATCCAAATGTAGGCCACTTTTGCTAGAACAGAATCAAAACAATCATATTTGACATGTATTAATATTTGTATTTTCCCATGTTGTGTCACATTCTACAGACAGGTGTGTTCCTCATTGAGGACCATTTCTTCCCCAATACTGTTTTCGAGCCAAGCAAGAGGTTTCGTCTACCTAAGTGGGACAAAGTGCCGGGGTTCAATATTCTGGAGCACATCCACAGGGAGGACCCCGACAGAACAACATTTACCCCGCACAAGTTAATAGTTCAGCCAAGGTAGGATGAGGATTTTTGGACTGAAAAGTTGCTCACTTTGTCAGAAGAGCCAGTGTTTTGGTACTATGAATTGTGTATTTTGCCAAGTCTTTTTGAAAAAAAAACTTTTTCAGTCATTGTAAAAAAAAATTCCTAATCCTAATCCTTCCTAATCCCGCCTAAAAAAAAAACACCCTCTCAAACCTAAGCATTTTTTGACAACAACTTCATAAAACCGGAGGGTCTCCAGAAAAACGGCTACTAATGACCATGTGATATTTCAGTTTTTCTTTTTTAATAAATTTGCAAACATTTCTACATTTCTGTTTTTTTTCTGTCAAGATGGGGTGCTGAGTGTACATTAATGAGAAATAAAATGAACTTTTTTGATTTTAGCAAATGGCTGCAATGAAACAAAGAGTGAAAAATGTAAAGTGGTCTGAATACTTTCCGTACCCACTGTATGTGCACGCCAGCGTCAGATCTGATCTTTAAGGTGGACAGGCAAACGTTGCATCCAATCTAAATGGGTTAAATGTTGTAAAGATTGATGGGGGATATTCCTTACAGCAAATCAGAGTCCTAATAGACATGAAGTTATTCAGAATTGGATAATAACATTGGAAGGACAGTCTGCTCTAAGTCAAACAGAAGCTCAATTCAGAGTGCAGTCAGACTTCAAACTGAAATCCAAAACATGCCTCCAAGCCAAGACGAGGTTCACTGATACACTGTTCTTTTGTGTCTCTGTGATTAACAGGTTGGTGGAGCAGGTTTCTGTGCATCAAGCGCTCAAGGCTTTTGGAAACACATACATAGTTCCCCCAGATGTTTGTCGGATCATTCACGTCAGTGGTTCTCCGACGGTAAAATTTAATGCCAAGAAGCTCCATGAGGATAAACGCCTGTGGGACTTTAACGAAAAACTAATTCCCAATGTTGACAAAGCACTGGAGAGAGCAGGGCTGCTGAGATCAGAACCTGCCCTTTAACAGGTTATGTACTTCAAGGTCTAGAAATGTCAGCTGATCATCTGTTCTAATGAAACTCAGTTTAGTCTTGAAACCTTTCTGTGTTCTAATCTCTTTCCATTTTTTTCAAAAGCAGCTCCAATATTGTTACCTGTTTTACCATGTTTCTGGTGGTGGAACTTTATAGAAACATACCGAGACTTTTAGGTTGGGTAGAATCAAAGATCTGAACCAGTTTGCTTGACTGCTTCAATTGCTGCAACTCCTGTTGGTTTGCCATGACAACTGCTCTCATATCTAGCAAACTGAGGGGCGTCCAAAACGGCCGTGTCAGGGTGACATGCACTTTCACGTTTTTAATAACAGGGGCATCAATATTTTTACAATGTTAGTATTTAACCCCAGTAGTAGAAAAGTTGACTCTTCTATACGTATATTCAAGTCTGCAGCAGGTTTAAAGACACAGTCAAAGGCCTGTGACTAAAATTGAAACGTCAGATACATTTACCTTTTTAAGGATTTCTATGTCTACATGACAAAGCTACAGGACTCTGACTAAACTGCAGGGGCATCTTGCACATACGCTCTCTGTATTCAAAGCATTTGGTGAAACTGCATGTCAGCTTATTATGAGAAAAAATATATCAAAAATGTCTATGGATGGATTTTGAGCTGATAATGCTATATGTTCACCATCAAGTTACTATGTGTTTCTTTTAACAAGTGAGCATGTCTGGGAGCTACAGGTTAGTAAATAAATCACCTCTAATCCCCTCAAGTCATATTTTGAGAACATTTAAGTGTACTTAAAGAAAATCTTTCAAGTTTTTTTTTCTTCCTGTGATATATATTCTGCTTTGTTTGCTGGTTCAGTGTGAAGTCATAAAAAGCTAATGGATCCAGCATATTTAGATACTTTTTTCTTGTTTCACCGACAACTTCCCAACACGGGCATCATTATTACAGAAAAATGATTTGCTTGAATAGCTCTACTTGTAATATATTACAAATGCCAACCCATGCATGTGTGATTGTGTTTTTGTATTTATTCAAAGTTAAAATAATGGCCTTGGTAACTTAAAAAAAAGGATATTATCTAATAACATAATGTCACGGAATAGCAGACACACAAGTCTTCTTTATGTAATGGGTATCTTTTGGTTCTTTTATTTTGTATATATTTGAAAACACAGCCCCTTTACTTCTCAGTGTGTATTGAAACTATGGTATAACTAGTCTTGGGTCTTGCCAAGCAGCAGGAAAAGGGGATGGAGACCCCTCCCTTGACAGGCCTATTTTTCTTTTTTATCCCTCTGCAGTTTCATGGTTTACTGCTTTGATGTTTTCAGCTGTTGCTGGAAACGTGTTTGTCCCAGTGCCCCATGGAACCAGACAACAATATTTCAGCTGACAAGAGCAGTATCAAGTAAATGGCCTGGTACTTTCAGGAAGCATCTGCTGAGAAGGATGTTCATGCTCATCAAAATCAAGGGCAGTGACCTTATGATGACAAGCATTATTTACATAATGAATCTGCATAAAGGCTGCTAAGGCTTGACTACAAAAGGGTTTTTTCAAAGGAGTAGGTTGTTGTTCTGATCTAATCCACTCACCATGTGTCTAATACACCCAATCACAGAGCTGAGCATATGATTCTCAGAAAAATACTTACATGGAAACCTTTTAAAGCTCAGCAACTTGTTAGGTTACATCTCACTCTCAGTCGCTCATCCTCATTTCCGGAGACACCGGCCGCTTAGATCACAACCTGTGAGACTGCAGACCTTTTACAAACCAATGGTGATAATCAGCATGTTTCTATTTGTATATTTTGTTATCTATTGTTTGATTACCTTTGCCCTCCATTGTGAGCTGTTGTACTAACCAAATAGCTCCCAAAGGTGGATCAATAAAGTGCTTCTAATCTAATCTTTAAAAAATGCCATGAGGACTGCTTTGGCCATTTGATTATTGTTCTACACTGAAAGAAAAGCAGAAGTGACGATGTGATTCAATGCTTTTGTGGCTGATCAGGCAGCTATGGGAAATCTGGTCAGTTGTCTAGTGATGTAGCTTGAGTCAGCAACGACACAGTATGCGCAGAATGCAGGTTTAAATATGAGTAGCAGAGGTCCAGTGTTAGAAAATCTGTAACTGTTGTACCTCATTATCTTGCTCCTCCTCTACACTTTAGGCTAACTGGCCTCGTGAGTCGTTACAAGCCTAACAGACAAACAGCCTTGAAAACTGACAAAGGGCCACGTTGAGTTATGGGTAACGCATATATTTTGTTCTGATAAGAAAAACAAAAATGTTTCTAAATCAACACATTTTTTTAAACTAGAAGCGACCACATTTTTTTGTAACAGGGCGTATACACTAAATGGCAAGTTCGGTGACTTTAGCTGCTAAACTGCTAATACTACACATACTTTTACCATCATTACTGACAGTGTATCTATCTTATTCATCGTTTGTAACCCTCAGTCCCACTTTCCAAGCCCAGCACATTTTCAGCAGACGTCTGTTCATGAGTCTGGTTCCGCTCAAGGTTTTTTGCCTGCCTGACTAATGTTGGGTGTAAGTGTTTGATGTAATGAAGAGTAAGGTCTTTACCTGCTTTGTGTAAAGTGTCTTGAGATAACATTTGTTATAAACTGGCGCTATGCAAATAAAGATTGATTGACTCAAATTAGCGGAGGGGATATCTAACACCAGCTAGCAGCACCCATTTGCCACTCAAAGTAGCAACACCCCTAATTTTGCCTAGCTTGATTTAAACATGCACACCTTGTACAGTTGTCAAGAATGGTTATAATTGCTATGGAAACCAAAACTACTTTTGGTCATTGGTTTTGAACATATTGATTTGTGATGAAAAGTATGGAAATTTTAATATATGGCCTTATGGGGATTAACTCATTTGGAGCCAGCCTCAAGTGGCCACTCCAGGAACTGTAGTTATTTGAGTTACTGTGTTAAGGAGCCAAGCTTATCACTGTGCTTAACCTGGAGTATTGATGTACTTTCATTACGAATTTTGGAAAACAGGTGCCTCGTTTGAATAAAAAATAAAGGAATAATTCAAAGAGTAAACTCTGTGTTTGTCTATGTAATGCTGAAAATAACAACAACAAAAGCTCTTTCATAAACAATAGCATACACACTTCTTTTCATTAAAAATACATTTGTAATGTCAGACATAATTGACACGGACACACATAGAAAAACATCATTTGGAAACTATTTATTGAACATTTGCAACCAGATATCAGTTAAATACAGAACTGTCAATTTTCTCTCTACGTCCCCCAGCAGCAGGGACAGGCTTCCATTAAACTGACAGGAGGGAATGTTACAGGACTTGTTAAGGCGCACACTGTGCTCGAAGTCATTTGGCTTTCTGTCTTCTGATAATAAAGAAAAAATAAATCTTAGTCTGCCTCTAAAATGTCCATCTCTGCTTTCTCTCCCCGCAGCTAGATCCTGCGTGCACAGACCATGGCAAAATGACACGAAAAAGGAGCCGAGAAGACTGGGACACACCCCTACTGAACGCTGTGTGAGAAGTGTAGCCATGAATGAAAAGCTAGAAGTAAAATGATTAACATGAATACATTAGAAAAATGGCAATTAGTCTTTAATAAACACCTCGCCTCACCTACTCCAAACAAGACCAGGGTTATAAATTAAAACTGTCCAAATAAAATCAATCAACCAACACTTTGGGCCCATTCAGTTCCATTTCAAGACTGGAAAATCCTCATTTAAAAAACAAAAACAAATGGCACTTTTCAGTCTCTTGAACTGGAATCTAGAATTTCAACGTCAATGGAATTGACCCCAACCGTAAAATCAACTCTGTCTAATTTACATATACAGGTCAGGTGCTCTTCAAGCTCCCACCTTTCTAGCAGTTTCTCCCCACAGGATGGGGGGGGGGGGGGGAGGAGGAGGATGGGGCTCGGTGGTCTCTGAGGGCTAGGCCACGGTTTTGAAGGTCTGCAATATGAGGTTGGTTTGGTGGATGAGTCGGTTCGCGCTGATGAAGACGTTTATCGCCCTGGGGACGCAGAAAGAAGTAGAAGGTGATGAAACAAACTCCAGACGCTGCTCAAAATAAAACTTTAAAAGATTTGTGGGGGGGGGGGGGGAGATGGGAATAAGGGGGAGCTGGTTCTGTAAAAAAAATGTTTGAAGAGCCACAGAAGGTTTAGCCAATAAATGAGGGGGCAGAGCAAACGTTCATTGTCTTTGTTGAAACCTCTTGATACAGTGTAGGATCGTTCAAAGAAGGTAGGCATGACGAGTTGGACGATTAAACAAAAAACTCTGGCACAATTTCAAGCGGGGAACTCTGTGCCAGCAATATACTATACAGGTTATCCTTTATGAAGGGTAAATTGTTGGTAATTACTTTATGACACTGTTTCATCAAAGTGTAAATTCATCTCTGACTACTTCGATGGATTCAGTTGAAGTGAACAAAAGACCCACAACAAAGTGTCCTTCCTCATGTTTCTGTCAATCACCCTTCACTTCAATGCTAACCACACAGAGTAGACTTGGAAGGCATGCTGCATAGTTTTCTGACAGCTGACTTATACTGCCATCAAGGGCTGCAACCAACAGTCTTTTCTATTGTCAATAAGTACATGTGGTATTCATGACCTTTTGTCTGTAGAATTCGTAATTCTACAGACAAAAGGTCATGAATACCACATGTACTTATTGACAATAGTATGAGCATGCCCAGCTGCTGAACACTGTTTTGTTAGTTTTAAGTTTGTTGTTGATTTGAATTGGCGGGACCGTTTGTGTTTGTGTGTTTTTAAATGTAACTGTTTATTTAGGTTTCTGACATTGACACGAGTCCCCCATTTTGCATCCCAACGAGAGGAGTCCAGTTAAACTGAACATTGCATGTAAAAATGATTGTGGCTGTGCAGGAGGGATACCTTCTACCTTAACATTCATATACTTTTCTCTCTCTCATTTTTTTTTCTACCGCAGAGTACATATTTTTCTCACCTGTGCAATATTTATTTTTATTCTGTACTCGTGGCAAGATACTTTCTTTACTGTGCTATATACATTACCTGCTGTAAATACTTTCTACACATACATTGCACATCTTACTTGAATGCAAGGTGTTTGTAGCTGTGGAGGCCTGTACGTGTGTGTGTGTGTGTGTGTGTGTGTGTGTGTGTGTGTGTGTGTGTACTTTAAGGTGAAGCTTTTCTAATTTGGTTGTATAATGACAATAAAGGCATTCTATCAATGTGCAGAGGGACTACTTCTTGGCAGACTTAATAGAATTAGACAAGCAGCTAAGACAAACCAAACCACCAAAAATGTCAATCTATTCCCTTGAAAGTCACTTCAAAGTTTGAATTTGGAGTCAGAACAGTCGTCATATTGACTTGTTTTGAGATATTTCAGCATAAATCAGATTGCAACTCAGTCACACAGAGTTGAAGGGAGTTTGTTCAACTCCATCATTTCTAAAATAGAATGTATTTTTAGCACGACAGCTTGTCTACAATGAGCAGCGTTATTACAGTACAAAGCATCAGAGGATTCGTTAGGGTCACACTTACTTTCCGTCTTTGAAGTATGTTTTGAGGGTGTCGCTGAAACTTTTGGAGTATTTCACAAACTCCTTTTTCTGGTGCTCCAGGGCCTTCATAGTGCACAGAGATACACACAAAAAACCCAATTTCATCAAACAACAACAAGGACAAAGTGAGACACATTAAGAGTTGTGTTGTTAACTGTGTTACTCACTCTGCGATTCTGGTACTGATATTTCTTAATGACGTTGTTGACTGTGTCCAGAAGCTCTTTTATGGCGCTGGCTATATCTCTGTTAGACAAACAAAAAGAACAAAAGTGAGGATTTCACAACACAAGTTCCAACAAGGGGCAGAACAGTAAGTATTAGAGATGTTTGCAAAGCAGCTAGTTGCAATTGTATTAAGGCGAGCCTACACCCAGGTTTACTGTAATAGGACAACGTGTTCAGAATAAGAACGAGCAAATGAACCTGTTTTTATCATCTACAATACATCATGAAAAGATTCAAAGAATCTAGAGTCATCTCTGTACACAAGGAACATAGCCCAAAACGTATATTGCATGACCATGATCTTCAGGCCCTCAGACAGGCCCAAGAAAAGCGCCGGCTGTTCTCCCTGTCTCTATGACAACAGTCTGTTGACATGGCTCCGTTACTTTTTCCTGTGTGTTTTTTTTATTGTTTAGTTCCCGATCAGACACGGAGCAAACAGGATGTAGGTACAAGACCCGATCCCAAGGCGGCAAAACTACAGGGAATATCATACATTTAGAAAAGAGCACCGGTGACGTCAAAAGTTGAAAGATTTTCATCTTGAGTGCTCGGAGTGGACGCCCAAAAAAGGCAGAGCGCTCGAAATAAGACGCTGGGCGCTGCGCTTTTTCTCCACGCGGCAATTTCCTTCTGCGAATGCTCTCACTTTATTGAAAACAATTGAAAAAAGCAATGGCGCTCGGAAAAAAAAACCAAAGTGGACACGGGGCCTTAGTGGACATGGCTTGGGTATCCTGCACATGTCTGAAGGTGTACAGTATGTATACAGGTTTTGGCTCAACACACACACATGCTGCCAGGTAAACACATTTCAGAGAGGGCCCTGCTTATTTCAGCCACACAATGCCAAACCACATCCTGAATGCATTACAACAGCATGGATGTGAACTAAAACACTGAGTGATCAACAGGCCCACCTGCAGTCCTGACATGTCACGCAAAGAGAAAGTCTGGGGCATTATGAAACGTCAGATAACACAAAGGAGACCCTTGAACAGCTGAGACCCTACAATAAGCAAGAACGGTCAAACCCTCCACTTTTAAAATAACAAAAAAAGAAAGAAAGAAAATAATCTCTTTGTTTTTGTTTTTTTTTTTAAACATGTTGCTGACATCAAAATTCTAAATGGGGTACTGTATTTAGATTTTTTATAAACAATGACATTTTTTATACACATTTCATAAAATGTCCCAACTTTTTTGGAACCAGGTTGTAATTGGCGAGATGTGTTCACACTTACAAAGACTCTGGTGAACTTTAATCTCCATGTACATTAATACTTGCTTTTCTCTCTTCCCTTCCCTCTGGCTGCTAGTATATCTTTGTGTGTGTGGTCCTCTGTGTACGCTCCAGTAGGAACGTGTGTGTGTGTGTGTGTGTGTGTGTATGTGTGTGTGTGTGTGTGTGTCTTGGATGGTAGAGGGTACTTTTTGAAAATATGAATCTATTAGTGATTTTTTGTAATGTGTTTGTTGATTTTGTCTTCTGTAACTCACATTGACTTTACATCTGTAGGAAATATGCTACAAATAAAACCAAATTAAATTAATCATGGATAATTAAACAACTATGCACAAGCCTAAGACAATAGTGCAGTGGCGAGGATTTCAAAGGATGCTGGGATCAGCGTGATAAATTATGTCAGTGTAGCAGGGGGTTTAATTAACCTGGGGTAGATATATATATTTGCATTAAAATCAGGTGTGTTGGTGTTTTGTGTTGAAGTAGCCACATTTGGCCTGAGGGCTACACTGGAGAGTAGTTTTTTGGGGGGAAAAGACAAATCCAAACAGTCTGCCCAGTGTGATTTCAACATCCAAAGAAGAGAGTGAGAGATTTCCCCACAGAATAAGACTCTACTTGACATGAGTTTTTTTTTTTTATACTTTAATAAGAATGTGATGTTGGCCACATAACCGATCATCTCATCACGGCTATGATCGGGCCGCCCCACATAAATTGATTCATGAGGAGAACTGAAGAACAAGCCAAGTACAGACACTTTTAAAATTAAAACGTTTGATAAAGACTACGATTTCACTCACCCCAAACAACTGCGCCACAGACTTTAATACAATATACTGAAAAATAAGTCATTATTTGCTCACAGCTGTGACGTTTGGCTCAGTGACTCATTGTGAACACACAGTGCAGACTTTTGTTTAAAATAGCACGCTTTTTTTTGTGTTTGTGTGTGCTCACACTTACTTGATAGTCTGTAAGAAGCGTACTCTGTCATTGATCTCATCGGGGATTTTGCTGAGGATGTGTTTCAGGGCTCTGGCCTTCTCATTTAGGTCCTGGAACTCCTGCTCAGGCCGGTCGATCATGAACTCTGCAGGAAGAGAGTGTTCAGCACAGAGACACAAAGGGTTTCTATCGAAAAGAGCGCTGGGGTAAAACAGTAAACGGGGGTTAAAGGTCATGAATTCAAGAGTCTCTAAAAGACATTTTCCAACATAATATCTCCGTTCTTCTTCTTCCTCCTCTGAGATTCTCACCTTCCACATCATCGGCTGCCATGCGCAGTAAGGATTCAGTGAAGTTGATTTGGACGTTCTTTTTCTCCAAGATTTTCATGATGATGTCCTGAGTGAGGCCGGGGTTCTCCCTCTCCGCCTAACAAAAAAAAAAAAGAAAGAAATACAATAAGCTAGGAAGAGAAGTAAGCCGTTCATATATGAGAGGAAAAATAAGGGGAAAGAGGGCTTTTTTTCTTCAAAGCGAGAATTTCATTGAATGTAAGTTCAGACGAACGCACAAAAGCGCTGCTCCTGAATTATTCAACCATGAATTGCAGCAGCCAGGAAGCGGCGGGGGCAGCAGAGACACCAATCAGTGAGACAAGTGAACAAAAGACCCACAAATGTCACAGCCAAACAGCTGTAAGGTGAGCACATCTCCCTTTGGTTTGGAGCGCGACAAAGCAGTGTCTCCTTCATTAATACTTCATCTGAGCACAGAGTGAACACTACGGCTCATCAGCAGCAGCAGAACAGCGCAAATCTATTACCAAGTCAACGACAGCAGTGAATAGAAAAAAAATAAAAAAGTCTTGGCTAGTGACTGGATTCACGTATCACTTGTAAAAATCAAGACATCAGTCTGAATATCAGAAGCTTTAATGCAGCGATGTCAGCTGAAGTCAATAATTTGATTATCAATCACTCAAGCACAATAAACACACATACACTGATCCTACCAACCTCTGTTTGACTGATACCAAAGAGAAGATTGAAACGCTAACATTGCATATGACTTCATACATTATCTAAGTGTTGAAAGGATTCCTCTGTATTGGATATTATATGTATAGTACGCATACAATAGATATAACAGCAAATCTTTCATTAAGGCGGAAGACTTCAGCCGCCTTCTTGGATATCTTGTTAACACTATGACTACAGCGTCCTGTGAGGGACGTGTGTGTGGAAAAACAACTGTGGAACATTTCACGGGTTGGCTCTGGCGGCCCTGAAACAATTTCTAGAAACGTTCAGGAGTGCATGTGTTAATAAAAAAAAAAAAACACAGCAAAGGAGTTTTGTTATAGGGCTTTCATGTTTTAGGTCGTGTGACAGAGAAACAGTCTTACTTTTATGAAGGCTGCTCTGAGCGTCTGAGCTGCTGATAAGTTGATCCTCTCGAGCTTGTGGGGGGAAAAAAAAAGGAAGAAAAAGACGCATTAAGTTAGCTAAATCTTCAACATGTTGCCCTGCTGTTTTGATCAAAATTAGAGCAGAACTTGCAGAGGTTTCCTCTACAGCTGTGTTCTTAGATGAAATAATGTTCATTTCATTGATGAGATGACGTCTACCTATCTCAATTAACTGCAGCGATTAATTTGATACCCCATAAAGGAAATAATATAGATATTGGAATGTAAGGTTTAACCATGCCGGTATGTGAACATTTTAAATACACTTTTAAATGTGTTTAAAATCAATCGAATGCAAACATGAGTCATGTTTGTAAAAATCGACTCCTACTACAATAACTCAGTTTCTTCTACTTTTGTGAAGTCTGATATATTAGTGCTTACAGAAACCTTCAGTGCTGACATGGAAGCAGATCCTATAGGACGTCGACCTGGCTCGACTGCTTGAACTACTGACTCCAAGATTTGCGTGATATATTGTTCTAATGCAAGATGTAGTGTTTTGTAAATTGTACTTTGTCTCTCTTTGTGTCTCTGTCAGTAACTTTGTGTTTTTGCTGCTGCCTGTCTTGGAAGGGTCACCACCAAGTTAAGTGGTGGTGACCCTTCTCATAATACCTTTTCTTTTTTTTTTTTTTGCTGAGTATGCTATACTAGTGGAGACAATTTGCCAAACTCTGTACGTTGTTGTGAATTTTGGGTATTTATGCCATGGATAAACAATGTCAGCACCCATTTGCTCCGTAACAAAGAAAAAAACACTCATATTCAAATTCTAACTAATAATGAAGGCACAAGGGATTAAACAGAATACTGACAAACACTCAACACCGAGACAGATGCTGTACCAAAGGTCTCTTCTGTCAACGTCAAGATGTTTTACCTCGTTGAAAACTGGGTACATCACAGCGTACAGTGTCATGGATACCATGGAGTTTGTCTCCGCTTCATTCTTCATCTCCTCCATTGTCATCCTCCAGGGAGGAGCAGCTATAGATGAAAAGGTGAGGAGGAATCTGCAGCTCACACACACTCACACATACACTCACCCACACACACTCACACACACTCTGAAATCCACACAAGCTCCAGAATGTCAAGAGCCTGGTAAAGAACAACAATAACAACAGGTTATTAATAAAACCTTGTATGGCAGCGTTTCTAATAGATTTATTTTAAGCACCGGTATATATGATTCGTACAAATGCAATACCTTTAATTGTGTATTAAGTTCATTAGTTTATTCTTTTAGAAAAATTTGCTTTTTGATCTGACGATAAATACGTAATTAATTTTAATCACAAGATAACAAAAGGTGCCTCGATTTACTAATAATGTTTGTCACACATAAACATGACATCTTGATGACTGTATAACGTGATTTAAACTCCAGAATTTAGATCAGGGATTATCAATGATCAATCAACACACCAGACCGACAGAGTGCTTGAAAGCTGAAATCAGGACTGATCAACAAACCGGTGACTTTCCATTTCTCCTGTGAACTCTGGAAAAAAATCGTGTGATCTCTTAATTTTTTTCTAAAGATAACAACTTCACCCGTTATTAAAATTAATTTCGTTATCAGGAGAAAATGTATTCTGTCACCACGAGTTAACAATATTTAAATAAATGATTGTACTCACATCCCTTGTAGGCTCCTGTACACCGATCGTGTAGGTATTAATCATTTATTTTTACACATCTTTTTTTACTAGTAGGGATTTCCAGATCTAGTCCAATGTATCAGTAATGGCACAAACTGGGTACTGGCTATGATGTGACCAGTCCACATTTAAAACAGGTGCCTGCACCGAATGATGTTCAGCTCCAGCTATGAATTAAACTGATTCAGCCAATAAATCCAGAACTCTGTAGCCCGTCTTCTACACCCGCTCCCGAAGAATTCACTGCTGTCAGTGATTTTATAAACTACTTTTAGTCAATAACTTTTCTGCACTCTTGTTGAGCACTTTGAACTGCAATTTAATTTATCTGAAAGGTGCTATATAAATAAAGTCTGATTGATTGATTGATTGAAAATGTCCACTGGCTCCCTGTCCCGTACCGCATCCAAAATTCTGCTCCTCACACACAAAGCCTTTACCCAGCAGTTCCCCTCCTACCCCAATAACCTCCTCCACTGTCACACCCCTCCCAGTAGTCTCTGTTCTTAAAATGCCAACCTGAGTTTGGCACCACCACACAGAACCAAGCACCAAACCTGGGGGGGGGGGTGTCAGAGCCTTCTCCATAGCTGCCCCCTCCCTCTGGAACTCACTCCCCACACATATTCAAGGCTGAACAAACCCATCACACTATGTACAGTGTCTTTGTAAGTGCTTTATAAATTAAATGTATAATCACTCCATGACGCCAAAAGAGTGGTGACTCATGACCCCCCTGGCCTTTTATTGCCTGATCAAAAATGATTCCTTCTTACAAGTGCGGTCTTAAGATTTTAAACTTTACACCACTGAGGGGTTTAGGTAGAGATCGGGCGCTGGAATTGGTATTTGGATGGGATAAACAGCTGCATCTGTTTGTACAAACAAGGGGAAGAGTTAAGTATAAACATGTCAGCGACAAACCATGACACTGTCTGGATTTTTAGTTGTTTTTTTTTTTTTGTTAACCTTTCAAGCAGATATTAATTGACTCTAATTTATTTCAACCAACACTGTACATTTACTCTATATTATTATATGATCAAGTAGGCAGTGGTAATAGAGGTATGTTTATTTAACTGTGACAAGGGGAGTGGTGCACTTATCTATCAGCTGACAGGTGACAGCAAGGCCAGATGTGTCATAATATATATTAGAGACACAGGCAGTAAGGAAACAGAAAAGAAAGACCACTCTCCTTTCCTTACTTTAGGATAAGTATTACATTTATAAGAATTGTAATAGGCAGGAAAACAATGCTCGTCAGTGAAGCTTGGTGTAGCTAACGTCAACGCATTTGGCTATTCGGATAGCTTGTCGATTACTTTTAGCCGAACAAATCTGTCACATGCGTACTTTAGTAAGTGAAACAGTAATATTAATGTGTCTGACACGACAGCTGGCTGACCTGAAGGCTAAATCGACGAGCAAACTGATTCCACTCAGCTCCAGGTGAAAAGCTAATCGGCTAACTGGACATGGCTAAGAAAGTAGCTGACGGACATTTAACTGAGACTTACTGTTTAAAATACTGTAAAACACGACACAGATTAAAGTCCCAACAATTGTTATAGATAAACATGTTGATATGATGAATAATAACGCATCTAGTCGTTTGGAAACCTAACTGAGGCCTATGGTCGACCAATCGATGGTAGCGAACTGCTAGCAGGTAGCTCAGGTGCTAGCTGCAGTCGACGTCCTAAAACACGTCGACGAACTGCGTAAGGACGTACTGCGTGAGTCCGTGTGTGTGTGTGTCAAATGGCAACTTGTATCTACCTTTTGTCTGACTTCTTAAATGAGTTGGTTATGCCGTCGATGTCCCTTTTTAGCTGCTGTGTTTTCTTTACAACTTGAGGCGGAAGTTTTTCAGGACTGGCCTGAGCGACATCTTCCGGACCGTCGCTGCGTAAACACAAGTTATCCAATCAGAAGAGGCCTGTGTGTGACGTCATGTAAAAAATACTTACATGTCTGTTATTGGAGCGTTTTCGGGTTACTCGGCAAGTGAGTCAAAGAAGAAACATAATGAGTTTTTTTTTTTATCTTACAGAAAATATACAGACAGTGACATTTGCAAAGATATCATTGATGATAATGATGGTTGTGTAGATTGTTTTTGTTTAATAACGATGACTTATAAGATGGTTTCTATGCTGATTAGAGCTCTCAAGAGCTGTCCTCAATGTTGTGCTTTGCCTCTGTGCAATGCCTGTCAGCACCTGTGTGTCCAATCAGACTCAAAGCTGATCGTTTGCTCTTACTGACATTGTTCCCTTTTTTCTAGATCCTTGCTTGTGTTGTACTTACTCTCTGATGTACGTCGCTTTGGATAAAAGCGTCTGCTAAGTGAATCGTAGAATTGTAGAAGTATAGTGTATGTTATGAAGTTATATTAAATACCAGACAATTGTAACTTATATTAAATACATGTGGAATTTTATGTTGGTTTGCAAACTATAAGTAAAAACGGTAAGGACATCTTTCAGCAAAAAATATTGAGGAATGATTAATCATTTCGATTTTCCCCAAGAAAAAAAAGGAAGTGTTATTCTGTTTCCTTTATCTTGTATGATGATACCTTAAATATCTCTAAGTTTTAGACTATGGACACTACTGGACAACACAAACAATGTGAAAGACACAGATTGGGCTCTGGAGAACGGGTTCATTCACCAAAAATTGATGTATTTATCAAATAAACAATTCAATATAAGATGAATCAATTATAAGGATATTTGTTATTTGTAGCTCTAGACTAGGCCAAATGTTAAAGCAAACCTACTTGTGGAGCTCTGGAGGGAATGCTCTGATGATTCTAACTTGGCATATATTAGTTAAGAAGTTGTTTTTTATTAAAGAAAAAAGCCTGAAGCTACTCAAAGACAGTTAATCATTTAGCATATTAGACATTATATTGTGGCTTTGGAGAGTCCATTTGTTAAAGTTAACAGTTTTATATATCGTTAACTTGGGATGCACAAAATACAGTTGAAACAACTCAAAAGTGTTATAAGGAATGAAAACATTTATAGTCCACCACACTGAGCCAATAGGCTACCACCTAGCGGCTTAAATGTAGCATACAGAAATGTTTACGTCGAAAAGAAAATTGTTTTTTTTTTTAACAAAAATATATTTCCACCAGGACACATTGATGTCTTCATGTATACCATTTAAGTTACTAACCATCTTCTGGGGTGTTCCTGAGCTCCCTTATCTCAAAGGTTCCTCTGGGTCATTGGTGTGGATCTACCTGATCCAACAACTATATCAACCTCATGTCTATTATCTTTTATGTGTAAGTAAATATTAAAGCTATTCGACTTCAACTGCTATGTTTACTAATATCAGTCTTCTCAATTTCATTATCCTAACAGTTGCTAATGTTAATATTATAATGAGCAGTCTATTATACAATGTTCTTCTGGCATTGCACTGTAGCTTTATATCTTTTTTTTAATAAATTGTTGTTATTGTTGTTGCTCTGTTTGTTCGTCTCGATCTCTCTCTGTCTGCATCTCCCTCAATCCCCTCTCAACCCCAGAACAGCCTCTGCTTGGGGTTTCTGCCAGTTGAAAGGCAGTTTTTCCTTGCCATTGTAACTTTGCTAAATGTTGCCAAGTTCTGTGCGCATGATGGATTAGAGTAAGGTCTATCCTTCTCTGGTTAGTGTCACTCGTTGTGATGTCTGAACCTGTTGTTGTGATGTGTCGTCTTACATTGTTGATCTGTCATCTGACTCTTTTTTACCTGTGGTTCTGTGATCTGACTTCGTCGCGATGGTTGTTGTTCTAGTGGCACAGACACAGTCAGACTACACATCAAATGATGAAGGTATAATAACAAAGTCGGAAGACTTTTCAGAGCCGGAAAAACATCAGAACAATAAGTAAAACAATATGCTACTATCAGACCACACATCAGAATGACAGTAACACATGTCACAAAAATCCTGTGACTGTGTGTTACTGTGGCAAATCATCTTCATCACCAATAAATATTTTTGTAATAATTCAGGGAAAACACTGGCATCTGCTGAATCACAAAATGAGGTGGTCACTAAATATATATTTTTAAACCTCCAGAATGTTACAATGTATAGTTTTGACATCCCACAAACACTGTGAATAGGTGAATTTGCATGCATAGGCTATACCTTTTATTTATTATTTGAGCTGGTTAACATCCATCTGTAAGGCCAATGGAAATTTCCAACCAATCTTAAAACCTACAACAAAAAAACCCAGTAAATTGGATATGTCAAATTCTAAAGTCCACAACACTGAAGCTTTCTCTATAAGAAATGTTATGTTACTCACCCAGTTTTTACCCTTTTGTGCATTAAGTTGGTCTTTATCAGGTATAACGCAATATCTTTTTGAATGAGGTCAGCTGACTGATTATTTAAAACAAGAAGACTCTTGGCCCTGATTGATTGCTTTATCTGTTTGTCTATGATGAAAGGTGGGTGACTGAAAAGGTTTCCTACGGTGTTCATACTTAAAGCTCATTATCAGCTCCGTTGTGAAACCATTTCTTATCTTTAGAATCATTTAACCTACCTCTTATTTTTCTCCCTTTGGTCTCACGTCTCCCTCGTCACATTATTTGACGTCATCTACTTTTTTTATGTCTCACTTTATTTCACATGGAAAAAAAAACAAAAAAACTTTAATAGCTGGCTGAACACACACGGGGAAATTATAGGCTACACATTGATCAAATATTAATGCGTAATCCCATACCTTTATTAAATTGTTTAACTAACCTTTTTTTGATCGCTTTGTTGCTGATGATTTATGACAGATTCTGATGAATGGTTCTTTTTGTGATTCCTGTATTTATGTTCATTGTTGTTAAGTGTTTTATGTCTGAAACCCTGTAATTGTGCTGCTGCCTGTCTTGGCCAGGACACATTTTTAATCTCAATGAGACTTTTCCTGGTCAAATAAAAGTTAATAAAATAAAATAAATAATTTAATTGCTACTGGGTTAGTAGACATAGAATATATATTAATCATTGGAGTCGCTTTGGATTAAGATAATTATTATTATCATAATAACAAACAAAGTCTTTAAGGTTCAGAGAGTAAAGACAATATGCAGCCTGAAATAAAATGAGATACAGTATTTGGTCTTTACAATCTTGGATGTTGCTACTCGTTGTCAAGCTTCATCCTTGCGTGTTACGTATGTTACGTACGGTACGTCACAGGAGAACGAGCGCTCTGATTGGCACTCGTGCGGAAAACGTCACACGTAGGAGGATGACTAGTCCGCACCCAGTCTGAGGAGGAGGGGAACACGCAGCAAACCGTTCTGACAAGAAGTAAAGGTCTCTTAAACTTCCCATTAAGGAGACGAAGAACTGTCCGCGCAAACACACCAGGACACCAATCAAGCGAAGTGACATTTTAACTTGTGAAGTGGAAAAAGGTGAGAGGGTTTCGTTTGATTCACACGAGGCAGTCATTCATTCATTACCGTAACTACGTTTTTTTTCCATAGATAGGAAACATAATCTGGAAGGACTATTATAAGATCGCCAAGTCATATTTAGAGTTTGTCCGACAACGGAGGCAAAGGAATAGAATTCATAATGTATGTTTTCCATTTTCATGTTAGAAAGCCGGTAGGTTGAATAACCCCAGGAAGTGCGCCATGCATCACAGCGTTTAAAAAAAAAAAAAAAAAAAAAGTGGCCAAATGTGGTATTGCGACGTCACGCGATGCCTTTGGGCTCAAAAATACTTCTTTCACACATGCTGCGTATTTTTAGGTGCGTAAACCTCCCAGTACGACCAATTGAATAACCGCTTTTTAAAACAACGACTTGTGTAATAACGAAATGTAATGACAGAGATATTTTGTAGACATAATGAAAGCAGATCAGAGCCGCGGGACTGCGCCTCCTAAGAGCGCAAATTCTGTTGGCACACAGTGGGCACAGCAACGCGGAAGTCCACGTTTCTTTTCCTTTTATGTTCCACTGGAGCATCTTTTATTGGAATGCACGGGGATCGTTTCCACATGCAGTGACATTACTTCTGTTAACTGAGCCTTTTCACTCTTCTGTGTCTTTGCAGAATCCTCAGCCATGTCTGTGAACATTCATATCAACAGCCCTGATGTGAAGTACACAGACACACACATTGTGTCTCAGTATTCCTACCAGACGTCATCAGTACAAAGAGATGGGAACAAAGTCACTGTAAGTGTACGATTTTTACATAACAGCACACAATTACATGTCATTTGTGCAGCCTGCCTCTTATTTCTTTTTTTTTTAAATATTATATAAGGTGACCCCACGCACTACTGAGATGACGTTTCGCACAGAGAGACGCGTGCCCCGGCTGGGTGTAATGCTGGTGGGCTGGGGAGGCAACAATGGGACCACGGTCACTGCAGCAGTACTGGCCAATAAGCTGGACCTCACCTGGAGAACCAAAACAGGGCTGAAGGTGAGTGGAGGAACACTAATACACCTGTACCTATATAATCATATCAGTACAAGGTGGTAATCATAGGCTGAAAATATTAATGGACAAAGCCTGAGTGACGTCACCCATCTGCAGGTGGTTTTGGAAGCCTGTCGGTGGCGGTCGCCATGCCGGAAATGCTGTTTCAACCTAACAACAGGCTGAGAGCTGGAGCTGAGGCGGGTTTTTAACCTCTTGACAAACCGTTACGTTGCACCTGCTCGTCATTCAGGTCAAGCATGCGCCCAACTATGCATAACTCGTATCCTTCATGAAATCAAAAAGGGATGAGGTAAAAAAAAATAAAAATAAAAAAAAATCAGCCCCACTACAGTGTGTACTGATGAAGAGAATAACTAATCAGAACAAAATCCTTTTTTGAACCAGGCTCTAAATATATTAATTTCTGCCAATGTGGAAGTGCAAAATCCTGCAGTTCGTTGAGTGTCCGCTTGAGGCCGGCTCCAGGAACACTGGAAGTCACATACACACCACAGCCAAAAAAAAGCTACTTTTTACAGCAGAAATCAACATGTTTACAGCCTGGTACAAAAAACGACATGGGTCTGATTAGTTATTGTCATCATGTACACACACTGTACGGGGGGTGAATTTTTATTAAATGGCTCCATTCTGATTTTATGAATGATACTTGAAGTTGCTATCCATAGTTAGACACGTAGCTGATATGATTGACAGGTGGGCTTGATGTAATGGTTCGTCAAGAGTCTTAAAACCCGCCTCTGCTCCAGCTCTCAGCCTGTCGTTAGGTTTCCTGAACATGGGCCCCTCCCCCCCTGCCATAACAGATGGGAGACGTCCCTCAGGCTTTGACCATTAATATTTACAGTCAATGGCGGACACTTGACAAACTGCAGTTTTTTTCTGGCTTCATTTTTAAACACAGGGGGTTGCTGCCTGGTGGTAATTCACTTTATGAGTCCCCCCCCCCCCTTTGAGGACACCAAATGTAACATTGATTATATAACTTTGGTTACTTTGATGTGGATTAACTTGCACATTAAATTCTGTACTAATGAATGCAGACCACTGGCTGCCTTAAGGTAGGCAAAAGCAGAAAATGATCCCTTGTAATCCCATTTAAAATACAGGCGTTTAGTTAAGCTGCTAAAGCATGCAAATAGCACTAAGATTCTTCTATTAAAATGTGCTCAAAGGTCCTGATGGTGAATGAACTCTTTATAGCAGGAATATAATGGAATAAAGCTGCCATGAGGGCGCTAATAGTGAACCTCCTTGTCCTAGTTTATAAATATAGCCTACTGTACGTCCCATGATGCTGTGGAAGAGACTCATTATAAGCTGGTTATGCTGACACGTTCAGTGGAGTGTTAAAAGCTCAACTGAATTTGTTCTTGGGAAAATTCCCTTATAAGGTCGAACATACAGTATTACCTCTATCCTGCAGTTTTCCATTTTGGCCATCCTACTCTTGTTTAGAGGGTTTAATATTGTTTTAATACTCTTCATGACTCTTTGAAAATGAACTACTTCAACTACTTTTGTGATTTTTAAAAAAAATAAATTTTTAACCTCTTCTTTCTGTCCATCATTCTTCAGAAAGCAAACTACTTCGGCTCATTCCTGCAGGCATCTACTGTGTGTCTCGGATCAGGGCTCGAGGGTGATGTCAACGTTCCCTTCCGTGACCTCCTACCCATGGTGCACCCTGATGATATTGTCTTTGATGGTACGGACAGTAACAGATAGTCTCCTTGTGCTCTGGCTTATGACACAGAAAGAGAGAACTGCATGCAAAAGAGGAAGTTAGTTAACAGGGGGGAAATCTGACCTGAAGACAGCTTCAGAGGACCCCCCCCCCCCATAAGGCGAGGATGGTCAGAGTCTAGTCTGTTACTTCAAAAGGAAAGAGCTATTTTTAGATCTGCCACAGTTGACTCACAGTCAATAGTTTAGCCCATTTAGATGTAAAAGAACGACAGATATCTAAGCAGTGCAGCCAGTGTTTCCCCTAGGTTGGAGTTGTAGCAGCAGAGGTGAAGTAGAACAATGTTTTAGTTGCGTGCAATTTAAAAAAAATAATTTTCTTTAAAAGAATTATTCACATTTATTGGACAAGATAATCAACCAACCACCACCCTATTGTCATAACCTGGTTTATGGGTAATGGTGAAAGATGGGAGGAGTCCGAAATTTACCAAAGAAAATGAAAAATGTATTTCATAAACGATTGTCACATTTGAGTTTGTAGCACAAATTAGTAATAATGTTAGTTTCTAAGGAGATAAGCTGGAGTCGAGCAGCGGAGGTCATATAGTAGCGGTGCAAAGGCGCTGCAAGATGCATATAGGGGAAACACTGAGTGCAGCACCATCTTTATTTACTCAGGGTTCGTTTGTGTTTTTAGGTTGGGATATCTCATCAATGGATCTTGGCAGTGCCATGGAGAGAGCTCAGGTACTTGACTGGTCTCTACAGGAGCAGCTGCGACCACACATGAGCTCCATGAAACCCAGAGCATCCATCTATACTCCAGAGTTCATTGCTGCAAATCAGAAGAGTCGAGCAGACAATGTCCTCACCGGCACCATGGCAGAGCAGGTAATGTTTGGGCGATGGACGAGCTGATCTGGAAAACTGAAGTCTCCTCTGTAAACAACGTATTTCATTTAATGCTGTGGTATTTGTTGGGATGCCTTTTTTTCTTCTTCTGATTTACAGAACTCAGTGTCTGCCAGTACTAAGGACATGTCAGATAATGATGCAATTAAAACAAAAATGTATAGGCCTACATTATTAAGAATTTTTAACAGCTGTGTAACGCTTTAAAGGATATAATACAACTGCTATCACTGATCTGGCTCTGAAGAACAATCTATGCACCTGGAAGCTGATTCAGTGTTAGCAGTATCTTTATATAGTTTCTTTATTAACTTAATGTTAGATCAACAAAAAAAAAAAATGCCTTAAAATGTATGATCAGAAAACACAGATTGCTACATTGACTTGGCACATTCAATGTGCTATTGTCACATTATTACTTCCTGCAACCACTTCCTTTTCTTTCTAAAAAAGTAGTTGCTATAATGTTAGTAATATTAGTATAGGCTCTGTGATTTGGATGTAACTCTAATAGCAAACTGTCTTTCAGGTGGAGCAGATCAGGGCTGACATCAGGGACTTCCATCAGTTGAGTGGTGTTGACAAAGTCATCGTTCTGTGGACCGCTAATACTGAGCGCTTCTGTGATGTCAGACCTGGAGTCCATGACAGTGCAAAGAACCTGCTGGCTGCAATCCAGGTGAGAGAATGAGCCTTAAAAACGGCTTTATTTAGAAATAATATTAATAATGGCAATATCCAGTATGTAGGCATTTTTAGTCCTTAAAAAACAACAATCTGTTGTAGTTGTGAATCGCCCATTAAACTTGAATGTCCTCTTAATTCAGAGGACCAGCAGTAATCCTCCATCACGTTTCATGATTAATAAAGCTTAGAGGATGAAAAGATTAGCTCTCCTTACAATTCACTGTGGATTTGTGGATGAAATTCCACAATAAGTCTGAAATAGTATCCTTTTATATCAGATCAGGGGAAGAAAATTATGATTTTCCCCTCATGGGTGATTTTTTTTATTTTATCTCTTCAGCGTGCTTGTACTGCTGTCAGCTTAAATACACTATTTCACAGACTGTGATCTTCAGCAAAGCTTATTTTAAAACCGGAGCAGACAATAGAGCTGTGCAACAGAGATGATGTGAAGACAGTCTCAGGGGAAATGAGGCTTTGTGTGTGTTTTTTTTTCTTCTCTCTTGACAACATGATGAGACACTTTGTAACAGTGTGTTTTCCCCCTTGCTTCCATCAGAGTGGAGCAGAGGTTTCTCCCTCCTCTCTTTTTGCTGTTGCCAGTATACTGGAGGGGTGTGCTTACATCAACGGCTCTCCACAGAACACTTTTGTACCTGGAGTTGTAGAACTGGCTGAGCAGAGAGGCGTGTTCATCGGCGGAGATGACTTCAAGTCTGGTCAGACCAAAATCAAGTCTGTGCTTGTAGACTTTCTGGTCAGCGCAGGTATCAAGGTAAGACTAAGAAAGTTAAGTTAAGTCACATGACATTCATCTCAAGAGAAGGGGGCGTGATAATTTGAATGGATCATAAATAGATTAAAATCAGCCCGCTAGCTTGTAACATAAAACCTTGTTTACTTCATTGGAATGGAAAATGAATTATCACGTCTTTTTTTTTGGAAATAGGAATTTATTTTGGTCCCATTGAACACTTGAAATAATCAAAAGGGAATACATTGTGAAACTCGAACTCCCTCTATCCTTTAACTCCCGGTTTGTTTAACTTAGACACAGAAACCATATAATTGTCCTACTAGATCATCTCAGCTGGGTGGCAGAGCAGCTTTCTGTGGGTCGTGACTGTGTGCCTGGAAAAGACAATTGTGTCATAAAGTCTATGAAGCCCTTCTCAAACACATTTGTTTTGTTCTGTCACATGTTCTCTACAGTCTGAGGTCCAAATTGCAAATTTTTTCATGAAATAAATCTGATTGGTTGAAATCTAATTTCAGAAATGTGGGTCGTGAATGAGTTGGTAGTGGGTCCTGAGGCTCAACCAGTTGAGAACCTCTCCCCTAGATGATATGAGCTCAACATGAAGCCTTCAAACTCCTTGTACTGTGTATGTTCTTATTTTAATAAGTCCGTCTTGCCCTTCACAGCCAACCGCCATCGTCAGCTACAATCACCTTGGCAACAACGACGGGAAGAACCTGTCTGCTCCTCAGCAGTTCCATTCCAAAGAGGTGTCCAAAAGCAATGTGGTGGATGACATGGTGCAGTCGAACCCCATACTATACAAGCCCGGAGAAAAACCTGACCACTGTGTGAGTGACTCAGACGCACAGAGAGATAGTGAGCTCTGTATTAATGTTTGAACCTCAGACTTCTTCAACTGCTTGTGTTTTTTGTTTCAGGTGGTGATTAAATACGTCCCCTATGTGGGAGACAGCAAGCGTGCCATGGATGAATACACCTCTGAAATAATGATGGGAGGGACTAATACTATCGCACTGCACAACACCTGTGAGGTCAGTGTTTGAAATCACGACTTAATAGTGATTCAGTTTGTATAAAATCAAAACACCTTCCAATGTGAGAGGCCACACTATTAACTGCTAGCTACATACACCCCACATACCCTTTCCTGCTTTATCGGACTGTAGCTGTAGTGGTAGAGGAGGAGTCTGGGGACTGCCAGAGCTTAATGTTAATCCTTCCTTACATGTCTCGGAGCTAATGTAAAGAGACATCTGCAGGTCACTACCTCATATTTTAAGCCCACCCACAGCCATTCCTACAAATAAAATAACCTGTTTATGTTTACACACGCGGTCTATATTTTAAGAATACATTTAAGTTAAGTTATTTTTTTTAGATATGACTCAAGATAATAAATTAAATTTGAACATTTCAAACTTTGGCACCCCCTAGTGGCAGAATCAAAGAAGACAAAATAATACTCAAAAATTGCCTGACAAGATGTTACCTATTTTTGTACAAAAAAAACGACCAAAGCGATCAACATAATATAGACAGATTTTTCAATCACACACAAATGCTTAACATTGTCAGTGTAATGAGGGAGAAAATGTTTCGTTTTGTACATATCAGACATACTTTTTTTATGAAAAATACTGGATTTATGGTTAATTTAACCAACTTAAGTATAGCGTGAATAATTGTCAAAAAGGAACCAACAACAATCAAAGAATTTTCAAAATATACTTTTATTAAACATGCACAAGTGTGGATGATCTCGATGTACAGATTATACATAAAGATTCTGTACTTTGTGTTCTGCATTGTTGGTGTTGTTGTTTACATTTGTAGTACAAATGTAGTCCAAACTGTATTGACCAATTACGTATCAGCAGGCTTTGGTGTGCGCAGGAAATAGAGTCCATAAGGTTGCCAAAAGCCAGCAGACTGCAAACAAAACAAAATCTGTTTTTTTATGGGCTCATACAGTTGAAGTAAGCCAGAGTGAAGCCCATGTGTAACTATCATCTACTAGAACTGAGACTCCCGAAAAACAGATGAATGGACGCTCCCTAGCCGATGTAATGGACCAAGACATGACAGCGTATGTGCTGCAGACGTAAACACTGCACGGAAAATAAAGTCTTGGTTGTTAAAGGCTAAACGTTAGCTTCTCAGGAATAACTGAATGAAAAATGTATAGTTTATGAGATGTTGATTTTCAATGGGTTCCAAGACTGAAGTGTAGATGAAGTTTAAACCTTGAAAACCAAAGTGTCTGATTTGATTACAGCCTGAAAAAGAATTAAAAATGACACTCCTGTATGCTGGATACACTTCCTGCATATGTTTGGACCTGCAATACTAAAAAGAGTTATAGGTATTGATTGAAATCTTTCATACTATTAAACACACCTTGTATATATCTGTCTTTTCAACAGGACTCTCTGCTTGCCAGCCCGATCATCCTGGACCTGGTGATGCTCACAGAGCTTTGTCAGCGTGTCACTGTCCGGCCTCAGGGAGAGGAGGACTTCCAGTCCTTCCACAGTGTCTTAGCACTGCTCTCCTTCCTCTGCAAAGCACCCCTGGTGCCATCAGGGACCCCAGTGGTAAACGCCTACTTCCGGCAGAGGGCCTGCATAGAAAACATCTTGAGGTATGGACAGAACTGGGAGATCTTACTCAAAAGCAGCCAGAATGATGCTTAAATGGCTCAGTCTGGTGTGATATTCTTGTGTTTTAGAGACAGACGTTGACAACACTCTCCTTTGTCTCTTTTTTTCAGAGCATGTCTGGGCCTTCCTCCTCAGAACCACATGCTGCTGGAGCACAAGCTGCAGAGAGACTTCCTACCCCTGTATGACAACCACATCGTCAACAAGGCTGCTTTGGGAAAAGTTGCCCTCACCAACGGGAACCATATTGCTCTAACAAACGGCTTCTGTGCACATGTGAATGATGTAGCACATGTAATATGACAGCAAAAACAGCACTCTACCCCAAGATGGAACTGAAATCTAATTGGACTGTAACGCTAAGACCAATAGCCCACAAGCCATCATAACAGAAAAACTAAAGCCACACTGATTCCATAGCTTTGCGTTTAGAGTAAACTTAACATCTTTAAGTATTCAGCAAGTCTTCTTTTATGAGACTAGTGTGGTGATTAACATTTAGCTACTAAGCCTTGATGAGGTTCATCTGTTTGAGTCTGTACTCCACACAACACTGTTAAAGGCAGCCAATTTTGTTACCATTTATGTCTGTTTTTATTTATAATTAACCATGTATTTAATATTTAAAAAGTAAATGCAGCTTTTTAGATTTGTGTTCATCTTAGTTATATCTTTATTGGACTTTTTTCCCCCCATTTGTCAAGCAAATGTAAATACAATTTTAACAGAAGTTCTTTGAAACAGGTTCACATGTGTAACCATAAAATATTGTAGTGATGTTGCAGCTGTGAAAATAAATGGGATCGTACTTTGTTTTTGTTGTTGCAGCTACTTTTCAATTACAGAAGAATGAGGGGCATCTTTTTTCAAAGTACTCTATTTTGTGTTTTTGTCTGTCGCTGCCTTTCTTAGCCCTCCACATGATTTAGCTAACTGGCAGATGATATGCATGGAGTAAGGAGTGTTTTGTTTAAAGGTAAAGCCAGCTGTTTATGTACAATAAACATTTGAATACATTGTTAGAACTTAACTCATTTGTGGTATCTCATTTTTTTTAATCTTTGGAATAGGCTACGTCTTTCTCTTTTTTAAGCACGTATTATGGTAAGTTTAAATTTGAATGCCTTTTCATGAAAAGGTTGAATGGATGCAAACCACTGGAATAACAAGAGAGCCAAATCTGGATTTCGACAAAAAGCTTGTGATCAGACAATTGCGTATCATGCAAGTACACGTTTTTTGTTTTGGGGGGGGGGGGGTTCTATATTATTTTTGGGCTGGTGCTTAAATAAATAATTGTGGGAGGAATGCAAATCCATGGGTACGGATTACAAATGCAAATTCTTTTTTTTTAATAAATGGGGCTTTTTGGGCTGCAGAATCCCCTCGCACGCCCCTGCAAACACAGCCTTAGCAACGACCCTAGCAACCAGACCACAGAGGAGAGTGTTAGTGATAAGGTTCAATTGGCAAGTCTTTCCAGAAGGAACTTTGTCGCCGATTATGATGTTTTGTTTTTTTTTGTTTGTTTTTTTTTGGTGACATTTTATGTGCTATTTTGATTACCAAAACAAACGGTACCAGTTGGTCGGTTTCCTGTCATCCGACCGGTCTTATCACTTCCGCTGCCGTTACTGCGACACGGTGCGTCATTACCAATGGCGGACAAGGAGAAGCGCCGGTCAGGAGCTACTCCTCCGGGGATGCCTGAGGGCAAAGCCACCAAATCGGACAGCGACAGGGAGTTTCTGATGCAGGCTGGGGTGGGAGAGCTGCTCCGCGGGGCCATCCTGAAGATGGTGGAGGCCAGATCGGACGATCCAATAGGGTTCCTGGCAGACCACTTCTGCAACATCGCATCTGTGTCAGAGACCGGCTCAGCTGGATACGGAGAGGGGGATCAGTTCAGCAACGGCCTGGTGAGCGCAGGCGCGCAGGAGCAGCAGCATCTCAACCGGGCGCTGTGGCACCTGCGGCTGGCACATCACTCCAAGAGGTGTGTGGGTATAATGTCTTATGGTGCTGGGATGCTTCTTTTGTTAGAGCCCAGTAGAGATTGTGATCAAACCTTTTATTGTCTCACTGCTCAAATGGAGACATGTAAACAACGGAGCTATGCAGAGATTTCATTGGCACCCCGATGTCTGGTAGTTAAGACTTCTCTCTTTTTTTTTTTCCCAGCAGTCTGTTTTGGGCACATTTTCTCGCAGTTCTTGTATGAAAAAAAAATTAACCTTGAAATTTGATGGGTCTATTAACCCTTCAATCATCTTAAAGGCGGCCTAAAAAAGGATAATTTACAAAGCATGTGGACAGAAATGTACAAGATTCATAGACAGAAAATCATGCCAACCTACTTCCAAACTCATTTTCTATTGATAAAAGATAAATATCTATTTCCATCCACTATATAGCTGAAAGTTACACACAGATCTTCACTTAAAGGCAAGGGCCATTTCATGTAAGATCATGAAGAGATTATAAAGATAAAAAATATTTTCAAAAACTTTCCTTTACTTTTCTTGAACATTATTCTCCAGAAACCTGTCCTCTTTGAATGCACTCCTCAGACCTCACTGAATGACAAAGATATATCTACATAATGATTAAAAAAAAAAGGTGTTTGGATAAGTAAAAAGATCACTATCTTTAATGCAATTGCGCCAAGTTGCGGCCACAATTTTGCTAACTTCGATGTCTATAGTATGCTATAGCGATAGTTTCAAATTTGCCCTCTGTTAATGTCGTGCTTATTTTTTTCCCCAGATCTGCCTTTAGTAACAATGTCCGCGTGGCCTACGACCTTTTGAATCTCACCGTGCCCCTGAGACAATCTGGTGAGGCTCCTGAAGGCCCTGATGGCTCCGGCAATGACAGCCCAACTGGAGAGGGAGGAGGAGTGAGAGGAGGCCTCTACACACAGACTCTGCAGTGTCTGTGCAGCGAGGGTGGTGTCCCTGCCTCCACCTCTGCCCCTCTACTCCGTCGCCTCCACTGCCAGGACCATGAGGCCGTACTTTATGACATCTTCCGTCACGGTGTGCTCACGTGTGCAGTTTTCTCAGACTACATCCGGCAGGCTCAGAGGCTTTATGCTGAAGTATGCTGCCCAGATGTAGGGCCTGCCTCTCGGGCCCTGTGCCTGGCTGTGCTGGGGACCTTAAAAGAAGCCCTGGAGACTTCCCAAGGCTGTGACGCAAACCCCCCTAATGCTAACACTAAAACTAGCTCCTGTTTGGAGGCAAACGTGAAGGCTATACGCTACCTGGAGGCCAGTGCCAAGATCTCTCCATACAAGATAGCACAGGCCATAGCTGGAGCCCAGACACGAGGCCCTGGTGGTGATATGGACGCTAAGGAGTTTGAGAATGCTGCAGCAGAGCTTTTTATCGCTCGTGTGAAAGTTGTATCCTAGGTTTTACATAACTGATGAATGTACAGAAATCTATAAAAATAATAAACTAATAATAATAATAATAATGAATTAAATAAGCCTTGTACCCTAACCTCTAACAACCAAGTCCACATGGCGGCCATTCCTCTCTTTCCCTATGAAGTTCGAATTTGGTTATAATGTTGTAGTGCTGTGTCTTTTGGTTGTATTTTGCATAAACGTTTGTTATCTAAAGATATTTAGGATTGTTACAATTTTCTGATTTGAAACCAACCATAAAAGACACGAAGTGATTTGTTTATCTATTAGCTACATACTGACGACAGTTAATTTTAGCATTCAGCCACTGGTCATCTAACCTATCTGCAGGAAGCCAAATTCAAGCTAATATTACCATTAGCTAGGAATGTTATATGCTTACATAACCTCTTGACTGTGTTGTACTACATGATTGGAAAGTCTTAAATTACGGTATTGTTAGCAGGAAATTTAATACAAACTGTAGCTGTTGTTCAGTTGTATCAAATAAGTTGTGAAAATGATGCTTTTACAATGTCAAAAAAAAAAAAAAACTCTTTAGCCTTAACTATATTATAACACTTTTAGAGGTTATGTTAACATTTGGCCATTTCCTGGCTAACAGTGATGTTAGCTAATGCTTAAGTAGCCCGGTATTACTCTGAAATGGCTCAATGTCCCTCAAGGTATTTGGGGTTTTATTGTCATCTCCACCACCGTTCAGATCAATGTTAGTGTTGGAATGACAATGATTTATTAGATTTCCTGAACGCTTATATGACTTACTATCTGAAAGACAGCAGAACAACAGTGTTTGAGCGCCACGCCATGGGGGTGTGATGTGAAAAGAAAATGGCCGCCGTATACAGATTTACCCTTGTCATGAAATGCTTCAATAAGAAAGTAACACTGCTTGTCTAATCCAATAATAAATAAAAAAAACCTGTTATAAGTTCTCCTTTTCATGTGTATAAATGAGTGTAATGTGAATTAAACTAAGCATCTTGTTAGGCTGAGTGTGAGATTCTTTGTAACTTTATTTTCTTATTTTCAAGCATTTTGTTGACTACTAATTACAAATTATTAGCCAGTTTATGCAAACCTAATGAAGGGTTTGTAGCAGAAAAATATTATGGAATATATTACATAGTTTGCTTATGGGATACATATTTATAAATAAATGCTAAGGAGCAGAGTAATTCCACTTTATATCCAAATATTGCTGCTGCACTGAACCTTTATTTTAAAGGTTTACCTTTCATGAGACAACGTGGTTCTTTTGTCATTTTTGCACTGCACCCCCGACCCCTACTCCCTCAGGTATGAGCAGGTTACTCAGTAGCCTAGACCACTACTACTTTGAGTACTTTTTTCTTCAGTCTATTTTTAGACCACATATTATACTTCTACTTTAGGAAATTTAATCTCAGTAACTGTACTTTTACTTGAGTACAATATTCTTGTAGTCTTTCCACCCCTGTTAGTAAATATAAGTAGGCTACCTCATACATTTAGCTTCATGCTCCCTGGAATTGTGTGCAACTGTCTTCCAACCATTACTTAAGTTAAGCCACTAGATGGCAACACCCCTCTGGTGCTCAGACTATCAGACACAAACAGAGAAAAGAGGCGGAAGTACTATAACTTACAGTGACAGGCGTTGTTTTGTAGACATTAGGCTATACTTTTCGTGAAATAATGTAATTTGTTGCGCATTTCTGTGCGGTTAAATATGGAGGAGGAGGGACAGCTGCGGTCCTTGATGTTCCTCATACCTTACCTGCTGCTGAAGCGCAGAAGAGACATAAACAATTTAAACATTCAGAGGCGCAATGAGATCCAGAGGCGCATTAGACATCGTCAGTACTTCTTCCAGAGACAGAGGAGGATGATGATGGTCGGTCCCTACCTCTCTCATCTCGGTCATTGTAAGGTCTTTATAAAATGAGTTGTAGGCTATATGTTAGGCTTTTGACATAGCCAATGCTTTAGGCCTTATTAGTTAGTTTGCATGGGTGTTAATGTTTTCTGTTTGTCAGTGGCGGTTCTAGACCATTTTTACTGAGGGGGCCAAACTGGGGCCAGTTATTTTGTCAGAGGGGAACATTAAACCCAGGTGAAAAATAGACAAAGACGATTGCTTTAAAAAAATATGTATTATGCCAAATAATAGCACTCATCATTAAATACCACAAGATAAAATACCATGATTTATATTTGTTTCAGTTACAGAATTTAATACTAGATTGTGAGTCAAATACTGTGTATGTGTTATTAGGGGGGGGGCTCTTCCTTTTGGAGGGGTGGCGACAGGGGGGAGCAAGATCAGTGTTACGGGGCACTGGCCCCTGCCTAGAACCGCCCATGCTGTTTATCTCGACACATTTATTAATTATTTAGGCGTACATGAACACGGCGTTACCACCATTGTTAAGAGTTCATAGGTCTTCTCTCGGCTAAACAATATAACATCCACCAAATACTATAGGCCTACTGTAGCCTAATTGTATAAAAAGAAAATTGTGTTATATTAGTGTTTGTAATGTTTGTGAAACATTTGTCTGAACAAATGTATTAGGTAGTTTGGTATATTTCTAACTGCAGTCAAAGAAACAAAACAATACTTTTTCCCATTTAGTAGTAGCCTAAGATTCATTTATGTGGCACATTAAAAAGTGGCTTACATTTTTATAGATCTGGCAGTAAAAAAAAATGTCAATAAGCTATGTTTTCTGTAATATCCTGCTCTCTCTCTACTTTTTGACATGTTAGTTGAACCTGTGATTATCTCTTATCTTTTCATTTGTGTATGTAAACGTCAATTAAGTAAAAATCTGATCACCAAAAAAGATCCGGCATTCAGAGAGAAAAGTGATAGCCCCAAAACCAACATTTGTAAGAGACCGATGGTTGAATGAAAAATGGGTTCATTCATTTAAAATAACTCCTCATTTTGCCGTCAATCCTCTTCACTCCAGATGATGTTAGCTGGAGGCATCCGCTCCAATGTCCACATCCGCACACGTCCCTGGACCACTACTGCAAGCACTGACTGGTGGGAGCGGACAGTGATGACTGAATTTGAGCCGTCTGATTGGCTGGATAAGTTTAGGATGAGCCGGCAGACATTCTTTTACCTGTGTGAGAAGCTTAAGCCTCGACTAGCTCGCCAGGACACCAGTTTCCGCCTGGCGCTGCCGGTGGAGAAACGAGTAGCTGTGGCTCTGTGGCGTCTGGCGTCCAACGTCGAATACCGTACCATCAGCACTCTGTTTGGTGTGGGGAAGTCCACTGTGTGCAGGTGTGTCCGAGACATGTGTCACGCCATTGTGGCGCTCCTCAGCTCCCTCTATTTGCGGCCTCCCTGTGAGCAGGAGCTGGAGGACTCAGCCGAGCTCTTCCTTTCCAATTGGGGCTTTCCTCATTGTGTTGCTGCCGTATCAACACTTCATACAGCTATCATCACCCCATCAAACAACGCCTCTGACTATGCCAATCCGGCCGGCTGGCTCTCCGTGATGTCACAGGTAGTGCGGGCACCCTTTTATCATCAAATAATCAAATAATGCCTCAAAGTGGTCTTCAGTAACATTTGGGTGACATGTCTTTTTTGTTTGTCTTTAATGTTTCAGGTGGCTGTTAACGGGCGGGGGCAGTTCTGGGATGTATGTGCAAGTTTCCCAGGTGGGACAGACCCAACTGACATCTTACAAAACTCCTCGTTGTGGGCCACAGCTGCAGAGGGCGGCCTGTCACCTGCCACACCGCCCATCTTCATGGGAAAACCACTCAGGTAAAGTAAGATACAACAGAATGATAGTTTGTCACATTTTTCAGGCATTGAATGATACTTTAAGCAATTGTTCTGCCTTGAAGGGAGTAAAGTGTTAGTCTCTCCCCGTATCATTTGTTAATTATTCAATCATAAAACGGCATCTGGCATTAGGCTTTGACAAACTCCTGCCATGGAATATTGCTGTTGTTTGTGTTTTTATATTGAAAGTTGTAGGGGGTACACTTTGTGTTGTCCGACTGTTTCTCCAGTTTCCTGGATATACCATGAGGCATCTCAAATCTTATCAAAGAGTTTGACACCAAATCATTATTCATAAAGGAGTCAAAACTCTGACCAGTTAATGCTGATGGGAGTCTCTCAAACCTGTGTACAGTGGACTTGTACTACATAGAAATCTGTCGTGGTCAAATTCGGACCCTTTTTTTAGAGGCCATATCAACTAGTGCCTGTTTTAACTAACTGAAAACCATCTGTTGCGTCCAGGTATGTGCTGCTGGGGGAGCCCTGTTATCCTCTCCAGAACTGGCTAATAAAGGCTTACCCTGAGGAAAGGGGTCGGCGGGCTAATCAAACAGCACTGACTCAGCAACAGCGACTCTTCAACAGGCAGCTCACCACAGCAATGCGTGTGCCTGAGGAGGCACTGCTGAGGCTGAGGGCACGCTGGCAGTGTCTGAGCAAGAGGAACGACTGTGGCCTGGATGTGGTGCCCACAATGATCCTAGCCTGCTGCATCCTGCACAACATGTGTGAGTCCCACGGAGACCCCTTCAAGGCAGAGTGGCAGGAGGAGGTGGTGTCTGCTGAGAGCCCTCAGCCCAGCCACAAGCATCTCCTCTCGACCAGTATGGACGACGGTCCTGCTGAGGAGGTGCGACAGCTATTCTGCGACTACTTTGAACAGCTGAATACCTAAAAAACTCCCTTCACTTTTAGACTGACATGTGAATATTCGGAACCATTTCAGTAATCTTGTACTACCAGTACATATTTTAGACATTTTATAGCAGGTCATTTCAGAATGCAGTCGTTGCTATCATGTAAATAATGCTGAATGTTAACACGAATATTGAAGCTTGGGTTTGCATTTATCCTGAAGCATGGTTGACGAAGGAAGTAAGACTGACTGAAAGAAGTTTAATCTGAGAGGTTTGACCTCAGCCCTGTCTGAGATGGCCTAAATTATGCATTCAAAGGAAAAACACTCAGATTTATGTACCAATTATCTTTTTGGAGGAGATCGTGACAGACAAGTTTCTTATTTTTTCAACCAATGTTTCATCTACCAAACTCTTTTTTTTTTTTTTTTACTGTAAAAGCTTTGGACAACGGATCATGATATTTATGATTACTTTGTTTTACACATTTGTACATCCCGATATATAAACATCCAATTTTCTTTGAGTAAGTCTTTTGTAAACAGTTATGTATTATATTATCATACATAATGACCAGTGTGTAATCAAGCCTAATTTATGCAAATTATGTTTTGTCTGTTTTTTTCTGAAATCTAATGTGTGTCACTCCTTGGCTCTAAATGTAGCCTATGTAGAATATAGATTGCCTTATTTTAGAAATAGTCAGCATGTTACATGCAACTACACAGTTAGACCACAAGATGGCCCTCCTATCAAATCTAACGACCGCCACAGTCTTTGTCTGCTGCTTGAATTGCACTGCAGGTTGATGAACTGCTGGGTTTCTACTTAGTTATAATATCTCCTGTGTTGATAAACCAGCACTATTCTGCACTGCATTTAGGAGTAATGTGTTTTAGTAGTGCGGGGCATAGCCTACAGGAGGCGGGGCATAATTTAGCAATGCACTGCCTAAAAAAAAAAAAAAAAATTGTAGGCTATTAAAAACACCCCTTTACATCTTTAATTTTTGCGTGTTCTCATCGACCTGTGCGCTCGGGAGTCAGATCCCACCCCAAAGGACCCGCCTTGTTCATTCAATTGGTCTGCAACAAACCTGTTTCATGTAATTCTCATTCTGTCACTCAACACCACAGTATCTCCTCCTCTTTGCTCCGGCATCAAGACTGGTGTGTGTCGACCTTGTTTCAGGGCGACGAGCTTACCCGAAAAAAGAAGAAAAAAAAAAAGAAAACAATTTGCAGGGTTTACATTTGCCCGGTCCGGCACGCATCTATCTTCTTCTCGCCTCCCCCTTCTTCTTCTTTTTCCGGGATAACCTTAAAGCATAGATTTTTTTTTTTTTTTTCACCGTCAAAATGTGTCAGGGTGAAATGGGTAGCTACCCTGCTTTCGTGAGCTAGGCGGACAAATTCCTTCCAACCAGTTCGCCGCTTCAATCACTGCGGGTTCACACAGCATTTAGCCGAGGCGTTGTTTAAGCGAGCTAGCGGGTTTAGCAGCAAAGGGGGGGGGGACGCCGTTACGTGTAAAGTGTGCTAACGTCGGCTAATGTAGTTACTTACGGACGCATCGCTGCGGATAGTGCATTAAACGCGTATCCCTCCTACTGTAAGCTTTATTACTACTTACTACTTTTCACCAAGCTGACGTCGGAAGAGACTGCACAAGATCAACTGGTCCTGGGGGGTGTTTTTCTTTTTTTGTTGGATGTCGCGACACTGCAGTTTTGAACCCCTTTTTTTTTTTTTTTTGGTGGATTGTGTGAAGATTGAATTGGACCAAAAGTGAGACCGTAAGATAACATTTTGGGGGACGCTTAAGTAACAGATGGTTTAACTGTCTCAACAAAGTGTTAAGTGGCTAATCTGTTGCAGTGAATTTAACTGTGTTTAAAGGCAGCGCAACCCCCCGGAGAAGAAGGCCCCACCAGTCTCCTAGGCTTGCCTTCCCTTGTTTGAGTCTCCCGTGATTTAGCCGAGAACTAACCCGGGTGAAGTCGCAGTTATTCTCGGCTTGGGGGGACAACTTGACAGCGAGGCCCCAAAGCTAGTCTCCCCCTCCTCTCCCTTCCCCCCCCCCCATCATCACCCCTCGTCTTGTCCATCAATTCCGTCAATCTAAAAGGCAGACCACCTCCTCCTCCGCCTGAAACCGAAGCCGGAGGGGGGGAAAAAAAAAAGACTTTTGAGCTGAACTAGTGGGGCAAAGCGTTGCACGACCGTGTCCTCGTCTGAAAACCGGGGGCTGATAAAAAGGCAGAGGGGATGACTCTGGAGTCCATGATGGCTTGCTGCCTGAGCGAAGAGGCGAAGGAGTCGAAACGAATCAATGCAGAAATTGACAAACAACTCCGCCGAGACAAGAGGGACTCCCGAAGAGAGCTGAAACTACTACTCCTCGGTATGTGGCACATGCGTATTTGGCGAATATGTTTGTATAATTCCTGTCATGGGTCCTGTGTGTGTGTGTGTCTGTGTGGTTTGTGGAAAACGGGCCTTCTTCTTTTTGGCAACGCTAGCAATTGTGCTGCTAGTTTATGTTGCTAGCAGGACGCCTAGTTTCAGTGTGAGTAACGTAATGTCCTGATATCCGAAATGCGTGGCTTCTTGTCTTGGCAGCTCGTTTTGGTTTTGAAATCGGTTACCTTCTTCAAACAAAACCAAATGTACTTGTCTTTTTTTTATTTAATTGTTTTATTTCGGTGTGCAGACAATAGCTAATCGAAGTTACTTGTCACCATTTACAGGCTCCCAACAAGCTTGTCAGTCCGGGCCAGTGTGACATTAGTGACTAGCCCCCAAAAGCTAATCATTCTGGGTAGCTTGTTAAGGGGGTAAAATATGGTCACTTGATAATACAAGGTGCAGCAGCAGGTTTGGATTGCTTTGCACTTTGGCTTTCTCCATGTTGCATAACATATTTGCAGCTGCATGAGGCTTCAGATTCTTCTATGTAGCCTTTTTTTTTTTGTTCAGATATCAATGTGTCTTATTTATTAGCCTGCACAAAATCTACCCCTCTATAGGAGAAGCATACTGAAGGATTTGCCCCCTCATCCTGTAGTCTAGCTGAGTAGGTTAGCTATTTTTATAGCTGGTGTGTGGGCAGGTGGGAGCTGCTGTTGAATAAGTTGCACTGTGCTGCATTGATTCATAGTTCTGTGCACAGTAAAAGGAACAATAGGCCACCACTAATGCACTTGTGTTGCTTTCATGGAACATGCATTTTGCGGTCATGCCTCTTCTAACAGGTGAACATTCAACTGGATGTGTAGGGACGACTGAAAAACAAGAGACATGTGAAAGCTCCTTGGAAAATAAATCAGGCGTCCATTTTTTTTTTTTTTAAATTTTTTTTAGGACAATTAAAATTATCTAGGCTGCATCCTCGGTTTCAAAAGTTGATCCTATTTCTCGCCCACCTAGCAGCCCTGGATTTCTGACATGTGTGTCTACTTTCATTTCCCTGCTGAATACCTCAGCTCAGAGAAATAGGCCACACCACCGCCATACCGTTGATGGGACGTGTTCTATTCTGTGTCATACATTTTAATCTCTATTGCAATCCTTTCCACCTGCAGGGGAAGGTGAGCGGGGTTGCATTTTTTGCATTTGTTTGGAAATGGTTCATTTGAGAGCTGCAATCAATAAGGCTAGCTATTGTCACTTGATCAATGAAGGGGATGGGTTTTTCCATGATTTGTAAGTTAAGGTGATAATGAACACTGTGTCGTTTTATGCTTCTGTTGCTTTTGCGTTTCCCTGATTTTAACAGCAGGCATTAAAAACCCTTATTTAAATGTCCTTTGATAAAGGCAGAATATTAGCACTGTATTCAGTCATGGTGTTAGTGGCACATCCTGTGTGAGTTAAGGCTGTCAGTTGACGCCTGGATAAGGACGTGTAAGGCAGGATTAGTGCAGGTCTTAATAGGCTTGGTTAAACACATCCGCTGCTCAGACTTTGAGATGTCACTGACTCCCATCATCCCCTGCCATTATTCTCAGGCCCACAGCCCTCAGTGAGTCGCCCGCCTCTCCACACTCAGTGGAGGAAGATGACAACCTTCTGTTTCTGAAAATGTTACAAGTGTGTTTTAAAAAAAAAAAAAAAAGATGGGAAGGGATGTTGAGCTGCATTTTGAAAAGTAAATGTTTTGTTTGCCATTAGCTGCACATGCTATGTAACATGAGATGTGTTGTACATTTCAGCTATGATACATGATGTGTTACTGCAGACTGCTGTAACCTTGGTAATCAAACGTTACAGTTTGCAGGTATGTGTGTAGCAGTTTTTTCTGGTGTTGAGAAGAACACATCTGATGTCACGTGTATGGAAATATCATTAGAATGACTGATTAAGGGTTTCAAAAAAACTTCTGATAAACTTCTAAATGACTGAGGAATTCATCAGACATACCCAACATCAGCTGAACGATGCACAGTTGATCACTTATCGCTGCCGATTGAGTTTATTCAACTTGGCTAAGCTGACTAGCATGTTACAGTTGAAAGACAACAACTAGGGCACTGCCAAAGCTTTCATGGTAAAATTTGAGCTCTAGAGTTTCTGTTCCCTGAGTGCAAGCAGCCGACATAATTGGCTATTTTGGTTCACTTCACTCCAATGAATAATCAAATGTTAACTTTAATTTCACAATGGAAATCTTTACAGTGAATGAAGACAATACCTATTTCATAAAAGTTGTCGTTTATGTATACAATGTTTTGTATGATACCCATGTAACTGGGATTTGCCTGTATCAGATGATAGTTCATCGGCTACTATTTATTTTGCTTTCTGCATCCCTATTCAAATTCATAGTTATTTATTTCCATAAAAATAGGATGCAAGCATTTTTCCACTTAAATGTCTTTCAAAACAGAGAATACTTGGAAAACTTGCAATATGCTAAAGCCTAAGGTGGTGTCTTAACATCAGTTCACAAAGAAATGCATGTTTGATCAGGTGAAAGCGCAGAGGTTTCTATTGTTGCTTAAAAGATAACTTAAATGGTTTAGAAAAAAAAGTTATCAATTAAATTGCAAACATTTTCGGCTGCAGATTGATGTAAGAGCCACTGTTATTTCTGATTGTTGCAGAAAACAAAGTGTCCTCACACGCTGATTCAGGTCCACCCTCCCTCCGTTTCCCTCTCCCTTCCTTACAGGGTTTACTTCACTGCCAGGGTGCACTGCCAAACTAAAAAGGAAGCAGTGGTGAAGTTTGGTTTCTCTTTGAGCCAGACACAGGCATGAAGTTTCAGGACTGAAAAAACAGAATAAGAAGAATATAAGGGTTAGTTTTATATGTAGAAGCTGTTACAACTTTAAGCCTATCCAGTTGGTCAGAAAGTTACAAGTCAGCCAGGGCTGCAGCATTGCCCGCAGTCTGGCTGCCTGTCACTGAGAGCCATATCAGGCCATACCGCCAGCTTCCTGCTCCACAGACCAGTGGTTTGCCTCTACTTGGTCAAAACACAGCGGGCTGCAGGCTTTGGCCTCTGCTGCTTCGGATAAATGAACTGCTGGAGCGAGGGAACGGTCAGTAAAGTGAGATGGAAGGGCAAACGCTTTAGGGTTTCTCAAAATGCAGACCTAGGTAAACTGTCAGGGCACCGGTTGGCATTCACTTTTTCAGAAAATGTGGGTTTCACATGAAATGTGAGGATCGGAATGTCTGGTTATTAGTTATAAAAGATAATAAAAAAAAATCCCCAGAATGACTTCAGAAAAGCATTTTTGGTCAACAGAGACTCAAAATGCCTTTTGTAAACTACAGGGTTTAAGAGAGGGGTCTCACTGGGGTAGAAAGTTGGCTCAACAACCAGAAAGTTAGAAGATAATTCCCATAGCACACAATTCCAGGCAGAAGTTTAATGTACGCTCATTGCCAAGTATTCATTAATTGAATCATTCTTTTTGATCCCCCCCCTGCCTCAGCTGTACGTCTTTTTTATTTTTTTTTACCAGGTTAAGGCATCCTTCAGAGGAACAGTGAGATTGAACCAGGAAGAGGATCAGGGGTTAGGCTCAGATGTTTATTGCTGACCTCACTTCTCTTGCCAAGACATCTTATTTTGAACATATATGGCAATAAGGATCTTCTAGCTCTACTCCTCAGTGGTGGTGCGTGTGTCAGTGTGTGTGTGTGTGTGTGTGTGTGCGCTTGTGTTAGCACGGTACGTTTAATGCCAGCGAATGTGGAGTTATGTGGACGGTCAGGTATTACTCAAATCCTCTTTATCATGGTCAGATCTAGAAGTTTTAATATGGAAATCCTTATGAGACGGGCTTTTGCAATATTCAGAGGTTAAGAATGCCAGATATTGAAATACTGGTTGATCTAGTTTATTTTTTCCATCACGTGAAGTTTTTTGAGGTTAAGATATGTCCTGGCTAGGACTTTTTCAGTTGATAGAAATTCTCCCTGCTGGACTAACTGGTTATAGAAGTACTATTTTTCATGTATTTGCATTTTCAATACTGCTGATTTATGAACCAATACTAAAACAGTTCCATGTCACCCACCATATTGAGCAGAGTCCAGATAAAGCAGTGCTTAGAAATTCTATTTTATTTCAATTACAATCTTTGCTTCCAACATTTATGACATGATCATCAAGATAAAAAAAAATGACCATGCCAGTATGTTTCCTAATGATTCAATGGTTTTTGTCTCGGCTTATTGAAAATAAGCTGAGTGCAGTGGTTGCCTTTTCAGAACACACATGCTGCTGATTTCATTCTCTCTTGATTGGAAACAACGCTGCAATAAGAGACTCCCAAAAAGTCTGTAAGCGCCGCCCTTCGCTGCCACTCTAGTCAATGATTGTGTTTCCACAGCAAGTACCGCAGTCCTCTTCCGGAGCTTGCCAGCAGCGCCACTTCGCTCTACTCCGTTTCAAATATTTTCAATGGAGTACGCTGCAGTCACGCGTCAAACTGGACAGAAAAGAATAACCCCGACTGGAGTCAGACAAGGAAACGCACAGTGTCCGGCCAATTTCAAATTGAAACTCAATACACAGACTCATACTCGTATGTTCCAACACTTTATCAACATTACGTCAAAACAGGCACCAGAGAACAACAAATCAACACCAGAAAGACAAAGTAGCATGTTTTGTCTTTATTCTTGCGTGATCTTGTAGTTCTCCTGTGATGTGTGTAGCTGCTGATGGCTGTTCTCAGCTGTGCTCACGTTCCATAAACTGATCCAGGAAGGGCCAGGGATGGGTATTTCCCACAACCCCACTATATGATACTTATCGCTATACAGAGGCCACGATACGATACATATCTTGATAAACATTGATTTTGGATAATGACCGTGTCCTACACAGAATTTACTACATCAGCTATACTTTACTGTTGAGAATAATAGCAGAAGCATAAGGAT